TATGTTTCCTCCATTGTGACTCGGATTAATCGGATACCAACCAAATATGTTTGTCTGTTTTTTTAGATTTCTTTTCCCCTATTTGACTGTGCTCCTCTGCCTTTCTAATTAGCCTCACCGAGTATGTCTTGGCTGGTTTGCTGCTCTCTGACAGATGGCGGGATTAGGCAGGGTTTGGAGATGGCCACTTTAATCTGTGCAGCTAATCCCTCGCCTTGCCTTACGATTGCTGGGGCAATCCTTTCAGGAACAAGTAGGAGAGTCCAGAATCAGTTGGATGAGAAAGGCCCAGAACACTCTTGAACAAACGATAATCTAGAAGAGGGGCACTTTGAAGACATGATACTTTTGTTTTATCATTCATAAATCTTTCTATGAAAGGCCTAAGCAGTCCTTCTTTTTATAGACTGAGTGACTGCTTGATGTTTTCCTGTGAGACTCAACAGTAATGCCATAAGGATTGTTTTGCTTATCAAGAAATTATGATGTTACTGTATTGGCTACCTGATGACATGTTCAGCTTTTATCACAGTTGATCAAAATCGCTCCAAATGTAGCTCCAATCTGGCTGTTTTTAAATATCTAAATAACTCAAATATCCTTCAAGTCATCATTCCGACACACAACCAAACACACATGAACTGCAAGTTGTCTATTAAATAAGTGATCTGGAAATGTTTAGATTTATTATATATGTCTTGGAGGAAATGCCCCGATGCAAACATGAAAAAGATAATTAATGCTATTGAAAAAACAACCCCTGAAATAATATGACACGGTTAAAGCAGCTCAGTTTTCTATAGCAAGCAGTTTTTTTTCTTCTCTTATCACAGGCAAGCAACAAGACAGACCCTTACTTTTTGCTCGCCCTTTTGAGGCAATCAGAACAGTAAGGTAATCTGTCTGCAATCTCATGGACCCTTTTGTTCTCTCCACTGGTAGTTTAGTCCAGCGGCTCAATTCAGCTTCAAGTCTTTTAATAGATTTTCAATTGTATTAAGTTCAGGACTCACCGCAGGGAGCTTCAGAATGGTCCAATTCTCCATAATGATTATAAATGTTTGTTTCAGGTCATTAACCGTGACCTACAGCTGACACCAGACAGATGATTTTTGATTTCAAAATGCTTCTTACAGATTTGAAGCATCTTCAACCCACATCACAAGCTGACACCCAACCGATTTGCTTTTATGTGTCAAAGCTTTCTTTTGGTGTGGGGCTAATTATTTCCCAGTGAATATGAAGCTGAAGTGACTACCTAAAATACTCGTGTTCCATCTGTCCAAAAAGATGTTTTGGGGATTTGGGACTTGTAAACATGCTGCCACATTTTTCTCTTTCGAAATTGTCACGTTCCTGGGTTTTCCTCCATGACTCTCAAGATTGAAAACAATCATCATTTCACATAATTAGACATAGTCCTTAAATGACCATCAAATTATGATTTAAAGAAAAACAATAGGATCATTTTACTGAAGACTTTCCAGGCTCTCAGAGGTCACATATCTGACCTGTTGGTCTTAAACAAGCGTGTGCTGACTCCAGCCCCAACAGACTCTAATCTGTGCCTGAAGCTAAAATCCAGAGGTGGCAGAGAATTAAAGTCGTAGAAGGAGCTGCCTGGAGAGATTAGGACAACAGAATCAGTGAGCTCTTTTAAAGTTATCCCAAAAAATAAACAGGAATTCTTTATAAGAAAATATTTTTTCATTGCTCTTTTGTCTAATTTTTACATCCTCATCTACTGTGCAACATATATTACCTGATAAAATCACATTTTTTTAAAAATTAGGTGACAGACAAAGCAGGGAAGGTGGAGGGATATTTTGTGTGTTTAGGATTACTCACACACAATATTTTTCATCATTTAAATCAGATGAATGAGAAATCTTGCCATAATTTGATTATAGTGACAGTAGTCACTATAATCAAATCACTTTGCAAGATCTTAGTTTATTTCGAAATAACTCAGCTAATTTTTGTTTCTTCTTTGCAAATAAAACACATCCAGGTATGCAAAATATAAGAGGCTATCGTTTTAGATCATCTCAGCAGAATACCATCCAGAGGTTCAACACTTTTCATGGATTTTAATGAATTATTGAGGTACCAGTTAAACCCAAATGATGCTGTTTGGATTAACTCGAGACGACACAAACTGGAAGAAACAGCTCTCATGTGGCCAACATACGACATATTAGAAGCAATCTTCAAAAGTTCACAGCTAATTCATTCTACAAGGATGTCATTTATTTTTCATTCACATAATGGAAGCAGAAACAACGAGCTGATATGATATGATTTAGCCTTAGTTTTAAGATGACAAACAAAACAGGCGACATCCACACTCAAGGCTAACCATCTAACCGTATACAATTACGAGGTGACTTATACAGTGCACGATTACAGTTGGCGTCATAAAAAAGTGTCACTTTTATCACCGGAACCAGAGTGCAGTAAATGTAATGTATTAAACTGACATAAGAGAGGAATGACACAGCAAGTAAAGGCTCCCTCCTCTGTGGATCCTCCTGAAGGTGTCGGGCGGAAGATGACGTCAGACTGCCCCCTGCTGGTCACTTCTCTATCAGTGAGTCCAGCTGTTCCTGTAGGGAGGCCAGCTGTTGGGGGCACAAAAGAGAGGCTATGATTGATACCTGTAAGCTCCATGGATCACAATCAGCTTACTTTTCTTTGATGATGCCAACAGCATTCAAAACAACAGGAGAGAATTCAGCTATTGGGGGACATTTTTTTTTTCTTTTATTCTGCTGGCAAATTCATTTTCACTTGAGTGAATTCATTAAAGTTTCGACAAGTTTGCATTTCTATTTTCACATGAAGCTCCAAATCTTAGTTTTCATAGTAGGAGGAACTTACCTGCTCCATCTCCCGCTCTTCCTGCTGTATAATCTCATCCAGCAAGGCTTGGAAGCGGTTCTGCGAGAGGGGGGGGGGGGACAGACAAACAAGATTTGTAAAAGTCGACACGCTAGGCCTCATTAAACTGGGATGGCTTTAAATGTGTGTCGGCCCGCGCCGCTCGTGTCACTATCGTCTCCCTGACTGAAAGGCCACTCGGGACGCCAGTCAGAGACAGATGACCTTTTCCACGCTGCTGTGATAATAACGAGCAGCGATGAGGCTTTAATGGTCCCAAAACGCCAAGAAATGAGGGCTCTAAATGGCAGCATGAAAAAGGACCATGTCTGCTTGTGTTCCACCCTTTGTAAAAATGTTCACTAAAGAGCAATGGGCAGAAGAATGAATTTTCACGCAATTTTTCGTGCATGACGGTGCTTATGTGGCGAATAGCTGGCGGGGGACATGTAATATTAAAAGTCATGAGGAATGAGAAAAATAGTCTCCAACAATGTGTGTAATCAGCTGTTTTCTCTTAAGATTTTACACCGCCACGGGGGATTTTTGCCTCCAAGCTCATCTGCATGGACTTTTTAATATTTCTACACATGCAGACCTAGTTTCTGACTGATGCTTTAAAAAAAATAATAATAATAAAAAGGAAAATTAGAATAAGAAAGCCGGTGTTTTCTGCTTACTTTGAGGGCCTGGTTCTCCACCTTCATGATGAGCTCCTCCTGCTGTTTCTTTCGGGCGCGGGTTTCCTGAAGCTTGGCCTTGACGCTGTTGATCTGCACCTGATACTCCATAACTGCGGACAACAGCGGGCGGGGTCACGCGTTAGGGCCGGAGCACAAACATGTTTACGCTCAGACAGGGAGGATTAGCCGGACATGGAGACGTGCTGTCATTTGGAAGGAGCGGCACGCTAACGACACCTTCGGGACCTCGGCCGGCTCCGCCACACGTCCCGTCCGGCCTGACAAATTGTGGCTTATGGGGAAAAAAGCGGCTTCGTTTAAGAGATGTGGGATGAGGCTCTGAAAGGAACCGACTAAGTCACTCTGCCCCGGACTAAGGACACAGCTGTCATTAAACCCAGCTGTGTCACCCCAACCTGCGCCTCTGCCGCTAACTGCCAATCTTCAAAAACTAATTCCTGCTCTAATCCGCGAGTGTTTTCCTCCCACCCGTGCTCTGGTCCTGCAGAATCATTTATCAGGACTGTGGTCGGCTGTTGGACGCACACGGGGGCTCTGCTGGACCGCGGAGCGGAGCTGACCCGAGGTGTCTCTGACTGACAGCCGGGCGTATGCAGATAAGGAGGCCGTGCGGTCAGAGCGGACAGCTGGAAGAGCCGCACGCCCAGTTCCAGCACCTGTCAGAGCGCTGCGATCAGGAGGGGGAGCCCGGAGCTGTCAGCGCGCTCATCTCTGCGGGCGGGGGGGGCCGCGTGCGTATTTATGTGAGAGAGAGAGAGGGGGTGTTTATTTGAATGTTTTTGATGTCTGACCCAGAAAGGTCAGCTCTTGTTAAAACCTCCGGAATTCCGACTCAGTTCATTTTTCGACCTGCCCGCTTTTGCAAAGATCTGAGAGTGATTTGCTTTGTATTTCATGTCGGAATGTCTTCAGGTCCAAATTTGGTACTCGTCTGAGGTTTTGCCTTAAAGCAAAACAACAGGACCAAATCTGTAAATGCCTCCTCCTGCTGGGTATGGAGGCTATGTGGACCTAACACTCACATAAAGTGTGTGGAACCTGAAAAGGTTTCGGTATTCAGATAAAATGGTAAAAAATGTGGCTAAATAACTGCTTAGGGTATATTTTAACATTACAGTCCCGCTACAGGGACACACATTTTCAGCTCAAATATCCCTTTAATCTCTACTTCCTCATTTATGTCTATTTTTAAAGACATGAATCTTTAACTAACCAAAAAAAATATGGGAAATTATTTAAGGTGTTTATAAAAAGACAACTTAAGAGTGCATCCTGATCTTTGCTCTAGTTAGTAAATCACTTTACTTTGATGAAAATGTAGCTCCATGACATTTATGTGCACAGGTTGTGTGTCACACCACCTCAATGAGCCGTTCACCGCGTTAGCGGTTTGGGGTAAAGCGGTAAAGCCTTTGACGTCTCCTCACCTATCTGGTTGTTTCGGTCGTTTTCGTGCTGAGCAGAATCAGACTCGTTCAGGTTGTCCTGGAGCTGTCGCACCAGGTCGTCCTCTGTATCCATGATATTCAGGTCTTCGTCCTCGTGTCGGTCGCCCTCGTCCTCCTCATCCTCGCTGGAGCTGCTGATGTCGTTGAAGATCTCCCTCAGTTCGTCGTGCTGGACTAAACACGCAGAGCACATCAATGTTATGATCACCGGCACAAAGGCTGAACACTGTCACACATACATGGATCTGTACCAGTTTGGTTTTCCTAATGAGCAAAACGTCTGAGTCTGAACTAACATTAACCAGTTCAGAGCTAAGGGAAAGCCTTCCAAAACTCTTAGGGGTTAATGTTGAAACTTGATGTAATTGCACCCTGAAGACGCCATAAATATGAAACAAAAGCCATTAGTCAGGTTGAACCTCTGGCTTTTATTACAAATCTTTAACCTTTCCCTTATGTTCATCGATAACTTAATTACAACCGTAATTAAAATATTGAGCGGGCGTCTTCCTATTGGATCCGCAGGCCCCTCCACTGGTGGAGGAGATTGAACTTCCCACCACTGATCTACTTTTTGGTGTGTGACTGCAGAGAAAAATGTGCTACACGTAGAAACATAGGAGACATCGAGAACTGTAAAAATATGCAAATGTCCCACTATTTCTAAGTGGGACATCCCGGCCACAATTCTACCAACCTCATTGGGAGTAAATGCACTCTTGATGTCCTTAATTAATTATGTAACATTATATTAATTATGTATATATAAAAATAAAAAAATCTGATTAATGTATGTATAATGCATTAGAATAAGAACTCCCATTGGATATCTCAACAGTTTCAGTGTAAAGAAAACATCATCTAATTAACCAGTGTCCAAAGGCTTCTATTTCCCCAAAACAGACAAAGGTCACATGAGGTCCAAAGTCTCTTTGGCAGCTTTAATTAGCCAAGGACTTTTTTTTTTTTTGCAAACAAAGCCCACCAGAACACATCCACCATATTTACCAGAGGATCCATGACCCATCTTGTGCCCGGAGGTTCCGGGTGAGGAGTCGAGATTGGCCAGTGAGCCGTGTTGATCCGCTTCTTTAGACTCATCCTCTGCGATAACTTCCCATCCTGAGCGTCATGGGTTAGGGTCTACAACGTATTGAGGATTCCCTCACCTTTTTTAAATGACATAACTTATTTTCTGAGGACTGACTAAAATGTTGGAAACAAGCTTTGCGCGTTTCACTTTATGAAGCTAATAATAATAAGCCCAAACAAAAACAAAAGTCTAGATATATAGATAGCAAAATATGTAAAAAAATAACAATCAAAGAGGGAAATAGTTTAGCAGTATAGCTTTAAGTTTGAATCAGATTTTGATTTTTCTTATGGACCAAGTTCTTAAAACTGTCAAATTAAATATTTTGGCTGAATGTAACGGTTTCTTTTGCCAACTCCCTGTGGAATATTCCCTTTAATATACATTAACCACTGGGTTCTTATATCCTGAGGCTGGGGAGTAGATGTGAGATTCATGCCCCTCACTACAGCTGAACATTTCCACACAAAGCTGGCTTAACCGGGTGGACGGGCGGATGGATGTTTTAGGGGGGTGGAGTGAGCTTGACGAGCAATATCATTTAAAAAAAGGAAAATCAGAATTGTTTGTGCACAAAAAAAAAGCAAGGGAGTGTTTTAAATTTGCTGTTGACTTCAAATGACCAAATATATGTTGACAAGAACACAAAAGAGGGAATTTGCCCACAATATGTCACCTTTAAATGAAGGTTTAAGGACTGAATGCAATATTCATTAGCGTTTGAAGCGCGTGCCTTTTGTTGTAGCCTAAAACTATAATTAGTCTCTAGTTTCACTGTGACCGACTGAGCAGTGATAATGAACAGTCCTTCTAAATTAACACACAGCAAGCAGTCACACAAAACGGCCCTGCTGTGATCCTATTCTGTTTCATTAGAGCTCTAAAGAGTTTTACACACTGCACCTCTCTTTCATCACAGAGTCAGGTCAAACAATCCCATCAAGGGTCTGGACAGCTGAATGGAACTACTTTGGATGAGGTAACATTTCTCTTTAAAAAAAAAATTAAATTAAATCACAGAGCTATTTAAAACGTCTAATAATCTGAATCATGGCTGCAGGTTAGATTACACATCTAGGATAATTACCCATTAATTTAGCATTAGAGTAATGTCCTTTTTTAAGTTTGTGCCTTTTTTCTGGGTACAACGGAAGACCTTCTATAGCATTCCAGCTTTCTGTAATTTGGGAATTTTCAAGCCAGATATTCTGATATTTATTTGTAGGCGTCTGAAAGGATACGGACACTGACAGCATCAGCATCTGTGCTCAGCAGTCTCTTCACTTCCTTTTCAACGTCAGGAGATTCAATGTACTGCATGAGAAAAGGGAGAGATTAGGTTTCCTCTCGGCCACACGCACACACACACACACACACACACACACACGAGTGCATGTTAAAGGTAGCAGCTGGAAGCTTGCCAGGAAGCACATTAGCGATTAAAACAGAAGGGGCCAAATCAATATGGCTCAGTTCCGCACCTTCAGGAAGATCTATTCAGAAGACAGAGTAGGAATGTGGTACTCAAGCTCGCTCGCTTTCACTTTGATCAAAGCAATAGTGAGATTGCTTTTTTGCGTGCCTTTGGGCAACAAAGATGGAGCGGCTTTATTTATATGTAAATCTTGGGTTTCACTTTCACCACAGCGCCTGTGTTATGAAATGTAAATGTCTTGTCGGAAGACAGCCTTGAAACGAGATGGCCCATCAAACAGGACGCTAACAAGACGGACGGGGAAACGGGAGGGAAAGGGAGTGCTGGAGGGGAATCCGAATCACCCGTACCTTCTTTTTGGCGGTCTTCCGGAATCTGCGCTTACGCGTGTTCTTCAGGGGGCAGGTGACTGCGGACCGGAACAACGAGAGGGTCAGTGGCCGCGGTGGCAAATTCTGCCTCGACAACTTGATGTTGGACATTTACATCAGAATAAAGTCAAAGGGGTTGTTTTATGTGCTTACTGCCATGATTCCAGACAAACTTCTTGTCTTTGTCTTTGTCTTTCTTTTTGTTCTTGGGGTCAGTGCCAGTTGGCTCTTCCAAAGGGGGGTAAAGATCTCCATCTAGTGTACATACCAGCATCTAGAGATACAAAAAAAGAGGTGACTGATTAGAAAAGCAAATGATCCTGTACTACTGAGACTAATTCAGCTCCCGGTGGGGAATTACCTGGCAGACATCAGCAGTCTTGTAGAACGTCTTCTTGTCCACTGTTTTGAGAGACTCGATCATGCAGGGCAGATCCACCAGCTTGCAGGCCAGAGGAACCCGGTCCACTCTGACTATGCCATGGCGGCCGTCAGCTGTAAGTAAGCGGGGCAGAAAAAAGCAGATTGTTGTCCAGAGGGAGTTGTGGGTTGGGAATTCACAACCTCACACTGGGGTTCGTAAAGAGGTACTTTGTTCATTTTAAATGTTATGCACTAACTGAGGAATTGTACCAGAGTGTACAAATGTACCCCGAAAGTCTTATTTAGATTTACTTAGTGATATTTACATCTCTGATCTCTTTAATAATAAATGCAATGATTCAGGTTATTTTAAGCTGATTTAAGCAGTCCCCTTAACAGAAAAATAACAAAAATGGAAAACCTGCCAGTTCACAAAGCTTAAAATAGGTCAGAACAATACACTGAATTTGGTTTTAAATCGATAATGTGACGGTTCTTATACCAGAGGGATATTCCTTTCGATGAAATTGGTGTTTAAACTGGAACACCACACAGGTCATGCACCACTCGCACACACACACACACACACACACACACATCCACAAGTGCCACCACTACGGATGGAAAAGCTTACGGTGCAACTCGATGGTGAGTCTGTCTTTCATGTTCATGCTGCTTGACTGTGCAATCCGTCTCACTGTCGAGGCGTACTCCTGAAAAAGATAAAAAACAGTGACTCCACATCAGTTCTCATTTTTGGGTCTCATTTTGAATTTCAATCCATTTCTGCAAGTACAGCAGTCTTACCGACGGAAGCCTCAGAACAAATTGACTCTCCAGCTCATAAGGAGCGTCTTCTTTATTCTTCGAGACGACTTTCCCCACTAGAATCAAAATACATCAAAATCAACACTTCTTTATTTGAATATGTCTCATATAAGCTTTCATAGGCTTTTTTTTATAATAATGAGAAATCGGATTATACAGGGTATTGAATCAGCAGGCAAATGTTTGCAGTTGTAAATATAAAGTGTAATGAGCTAATAACATTTACAGGACAAATGAAAGATATACTTCTACTGCATAACACTTCCAATAATCTGAACATATTTTTTTGGATTGACTAAATTAATAATCCTGCTCTATGATTTATGATTTGAGTTGATAATTCAGTGTACTTGGAGTGATTAAAAGCCCTTTCCACACATTTTGACTCTTAATGCCTATCCCCTATCTTATTTTAGGGCAAACGTATTCCATGTGTTATGCTTTGTTTTAATCATCACTTTGTCCTGGACAAAATTCATCTTTATGTTTGAGAATTTTTAAACAAATGACTATTTCACGTAAATAATCAAAGACACAAATATAAACATCCCTCCTCCGCATCATGATGTACTGTATGTAACACAGACACGAAAGCTTTCGTTGGACAACTAGTATATTTGGTTATGTTCAAGTTGGGGTGCGTGAGGTCGAGTAACCTAAATACTTAACTATCAAAAATATCTGATTTATTGAGAATAGCGTCGATAAATGCATCATATTGATTTAAAACAAAACACTGCGGTGAGATAAATTATGTACAGAGTAATGCTCTGTAAATAGTATTTAACAATAACTCAACACCATGTTTACTGTTATAATATCACTAATTACACTTCACAAAACCGTATCTGCACAGCAGAATTAATTAAGGTTAGTAGAAAAACTGTTTAACAGATTGTTATTGTTAGCATAGCAGGCTAGTTACTGGAGCGAAACATACCTTTGATTTTAGATGTCATCTTCGGTTTTATCCTCTGCAAAGAACTGCTCAATGAATGATTAAATAAATCAGATCAGCAAAAAATACAGAGTTTAACTGGATAATTCTGGCTCATAATCAACACCACTTTGCGATAGAGAGCTACAACAATTGTAGCCTAAACAGAAATGAGCACGACACTCCCGCTACGTTCAATGTAGCTCGGAATGTTTGAACTTATCCTCATCCTAACTATATATTTCACAAATATATTAAAACTGTTTATCTACTGAACAAATGAAAATTATATATATGCATAAAAATATATAATTGAATTAATTATTGAAGTAAAAGTGGAGTAAACATGAAAACATATCTTAAACAGTAATTACCGACTACTTTAAACTGCACAATCCAGACGTCATTTTCATATCGCGAGATTTATTTAACCAACGAGACTTGGAAAAGCAATATTAACATTTTTATTATTTTCTAGTTACAATGTTTATATTGTAATTTACTAAAATAATAGTCATATAATGTAGTATAATAATATCAACCTCCAACAAGCTCAGCATTGCATATTTGTAACATGTCAAACGAAGAACTGCAGGTTTCACTTCCTGTTCAAAATAAACTGGGAATTTCATTTTAATAGACCGTTGCTCAGAATCATTATCATCAGTATTCCATAGGCTCCGTGAAAGCAACCTACAATACATTTATTTTCACTTAAGTCAAATGCTAAACTAAATTTGATCAATCAGGAACATCTTACCACGGTGCTTTTCAATAACAAAAATCATACGGGGGAAAAAAAGGCATTTCACTTCCGGGTCAGCATTGGTTTCTCTGTCTCTCTGGTTTCTATTGCCACCAGTTCGTGGGTAATAGTTGCCCAAAATTAGCTTTCATCTCAGGTGTGGTCGCTGCACTTCGTCCGTCCGAGAGCCGACATGGTGTTAAAAGTGACTGTCAGCGGTGTCCGGAGGGCCGCGAGGACGCTGTGGCTTCTCGTGCTGGTGAGCTCGTGTGTGTCCATCAGTGTTTCCCGAGCATCATCACCTCAGGAGGACGACAGTGCCATGGAGAACATCGTGACAGAGAAAAAGGCTGAGGAGAGCCACCGGCAGGACAGCGCGGACCTGCTCATCTTCATCACCCTCCTCACCCTCACCATCCTGACCATCTGGCTGTTCAAACACCGGCGGTTCAGATTCCTGCACGAGACCGGGCTGGCGATGATTTACGGTGAGATGCTCCAGCGCGAGACGTCACCGGGGCCACCGGTGGTTGCTGCTCAGAGCTGAAACACCAGCTTCAACATGTTTCAATGGCCCTGAAATGTAACTCATTTTGAGCTGAGACCATGAAATGCCTCCTGCTCCATGTGGGTTCCTAAAAATGGTATTAAGAGGCTAATTTTGGCCTTTGGACAGCTTTAGTAAAAGTTACCAGGCCAGTATTTCACTTCCCATCAGCTCAGTAAGGCACAGTAAAAGGGAATCTGACAGAGAATGGGTGTTATTTTGATCTTATCGACCACAGCAACGTATTATTTCCCCTTTGAGTGTAAGTATGCAGATGTTTGAATAGATTTTTTTTTAGTAAGGCCTTAAATAACATATTGAATATTTTTTTAAGATGGCATTCAAAAGACTTCAATGTTTTTGTTCTGTTAGGTGTCATAAAATGATTTCACCTCCCATCATAAGCAGTCTTTGGACTTTGTGTCTAAAAAGGATTGGACTGCCACATTAAGGAATAAAAGAATAAGGCGTGTTGCACGCTGTGCGGATCACAGTCACCTGATGGTCTGCAGGGAAACGTGTCCTGAAACACCTTTGCACTCTGCTGTCCTCAGTTTTTGCCTCCATCTTTTAACTGAAGCTTCATGCTGACGTGCTGTGTTAGACTCAGACCACAGTTTGAAAAACAACAGCGGGTGGAGTCAGTAAGAGTGTGAAAAAACTCATGCAACCACATATACATAGTCATGCTTGCTGGTTTGTTTGTTCAGAAAGGAGCGCTCAGTCTTTTGCCGGGTAGCTCCATTCATGGGTGTTTGTTTTTTTCCAACTGACTTAGAAGAATTATTCCCTCTAAATGTTGTAATTCTGCCTTATATTCCTCTCCTCTGTTTTAATGTAGCGGTTTATGAAGTGTTAAGGATGATAGAACCACGCAGTTGTTCTTTGTGATGTGCATTTGTATATGAATCAAAATGGAGGCTGAACTAGGAACCCCTCAGTCTTCGCTTTCTTGGTTTTAATCCTCTTAAACAACCCACACGTGAATAAATCCACTGGACACTGTGTACTAACGGACAGAAGCTTTTTAAAATCTTGAATTTCAGGTGGCTGCTCAAATCTCTAAGTGATGAATAGAGTTGAGTAACAAAAAAAATAGAACGCCAGGACTACAAATAAAGCATTTCCGGCAGAATACATTTTCGGAGGGAGAATTATAAGGCTGCTGACCCTTAATATGCTCAAAAAGATGCGTGATAAAATTTGGTGGCACAGAGAAACAACTCTCAATGCTCAAAGTGCTGTTGGACATCAGTGAGCATGTTTGCAGGTTATCCAGGCCTCTCCTCCTCTTATTCTCCTCCTCTGCCTCTGGTCCCAGGCTTGATCGTGGGGGTGATCTTGCGCTACGCTGTTCACGTCCCTCGGGATGTCAGCAAAGCCCCCATGAGCTGCTTCTTCAACGCCAGCCCCGCCACCCTGCTGGTCAACATCAGCGGCAAATTCTACGAGTACACTTTGAAAGGGGAGATCAGCGGCAACGAGGTGAACGACGTGCAGGATAATGAGATGCTGCGGAAGGTACGGGAACTCAACGTTTCTTTTTCAAAATGCCATTCCTTTTAAATCCAGCATCCCGTCACCAAAACTCCATTTAAGCACTGGGTTTTGAAGTGCTCCAGGTCTGGTTTTATCAAAACTTTCCACACGGCCACTTTCGATATTGATCAGAAGGAACTAATTACTACAGTGATCTAATCAGATTATCACTCATCCATGATAAAATTGTTCCAACTTTCGTATTAGGCTCAGTTAGTGCACAACAGTCTGCAATCACATTAGTTTTGGACATTTATGTATACCAGTGATACACAAATGATAATATAGATTTTAAATGGCTATGTAAGTTGCTTATATTAAAAATAACATCTTTAAGTGAAAAATCAGAGTACTCTGTGAGAAATATGTAAAGATATACCACACACATGTTTTCACAGCCTGGAATGTGTGTTTTATCCATTTCGTGGCTTTGCAGTTGCACAAATCCCTACAACAACACAAGCAACAAGCTGTTCCCGTTCATCAGACCACCCTTGAAGAATAAACCAACACCAAAGATCACATTTTGATCCAGTTGCTTAAACTGATGCGTCTGTATGGGGCAGCAGTCTTTCTTTTCTATTGAAAAGTTTGAAACAGCTACAAAACAACGTCTATTTTTCCCTCAAACAAACTGGTTGTCTGTGTTGTTTTTTTATGTCTGCGACTCAGGTAACCTTTGACCCTGAAGTGTTCTTCAACATCCTGCTGCCGCCCATCATCTTTCATGCCGGCTACAGCCTCAAGAGGGTACAGTAGGGTTTTTCTGTTACTCTTAAGTAACAAAAAAATTAATTAATTTTAGCAGCTCCTCTGTAAAGTCTTTTGTAAAATGGGAGATTGTCTTATTTTTGGAGACTCCATGTCGACGTGCTATTTTTTCCGTTCTTTCAGAGACATTTTTTCCGGAACATGGGGTCCATACTGGCGTACGCCTTTATGGGGACAGTCGTCTCCTGTTTTGTCATCGGGTAAGAATATAAATTCGCCACAAACACGGCAACGTGAAGAGAAGTGCTGTTTTTCTGTCTCTGTTGGTCTTAAGGCTCTGCGGCCCAGAGCCGCCTTTGACACGATGAACATTTGGCCCTCTGGTCCTCCCACAGGTTGCTGATGTACGGCTGTGTGACGCTCATGAAGCGGATGGGGCAGCTGGGAGGAGACTTCTTCTTCACCGACTGCCTGTTCTTTGGAGCCATTATCTCCGCCACAGACCCAGGTACAGCGGCTCAAACTTGTAATCCTAAGGATTTATTATAAAAAGTGAAAAGGTTGGCAGGTTGTTTGGGTTCTCTAGATTAAAATTGGCTGCATACAGATAGAAAAAATCTTAGGCCGGGCTGGGATTATGCATTAAAAAGAGGAACTGAGAGACAGAAAAACCAAAACAGCCCCAGATGTGCATCACATGATCAGAATTTGTGTTTGGTTGTTAGGCACCCACAGACTACAGATCTGATGTTTTTGCAGTAAAAGAAGGAAAAGATCTAAAACAACTTGACTTTCTTATGCATTCATTTACAGATGCATTATACATGCATTTAATGGCACGATTAGCATACGTGGACGTACTTATTTCTTGGGAGTATTTCTGAGTGTTATTTAGTCTTTGGTCATTTTCTAATCATTTGGCAGCTTCATAATCAAAGCAGGAGGCCGTAAGTGTGAATGAATAATTCATTGTAAAGCAAAAAAAAGGGGGGATTTTCTCGAGCTGGAAAAATGATCATTTAAATTTTGAACTGTGCAACAATTTCAGCATAATCTCATCTGCATGCAATCAGAATGGGAAAAAAAAAGCTGAAAAAGAAAAATTTCTTAACCTGTACAAAGCTGTAAACAGGCTGTCTGAGACACAGACTGAATGAGTGTGTTTTGCATCTTTTACCGAGTGACCCGTGTTTGTTAACCTCTCAGTGCCCCCTTTTTCTCTTCAGTTTCCCAAAACAGTGCCGTTTCCACACCAAAAAGCAAACGACAGTGTTGGTTTGTAACCACCCTTTGTGTCGTGTTTGAGTTTCTCTCTTTTCTGGCTGATTCTCAGTGACTGTGCTGGCCATCTTCAACGAGCTGCAGGTGGACGTGGACCTGTACGCGCTGCTGTTTGGAGAGAGCGTGCTCAACGACGCCGTGGCCGTCGTTCTGTCCTCGTAAGTCCCCTTCACGCGATCAGAATAATAAAAAAAAAATCTCTCAACCAGTACAAAGCCGTAAGATTTCCAGCTATCTGAGACAAAGGCTGAAGGAGTGTGTTTTGAATCTTTTCCTGAGGGGCCAGTGTTTGTTAAGCTCTCAGTGTCATCTTCACGTTGAATTCTGCTTTAGCTGGAAGTGGTCCTTCCGCTGACTCTGTGTTTTCCTCCTCCTCCACCTGGGACTGTGGATTCCCACAGAATTGTAAGTCATAATAGCGGGCGGCGAGGACGGGCCGGCCCAGGGACCAGCCCATCCAGCGGGTGCACTGAGTAGAGCACGCCATTGTGTGCCTTTGCGGTGCCCTGGGACAAACGCGACAAATCACAGGCTATTTGTTGTCAGACCCCAGCTTTTCCAACCCGGGATGCAGAACATTCCATTATTCCTCAGTTTATTTTTCATGCTCTGGTTAACTGGGTTTGGACGTCGTGAGTCAGCTAAGAAAATACTTCTGTTATCTTCCAGGATGCTGTGAGAGGCAAGTAGCAGGCAGAATGCCAGAAACGCTCCAAGACTAAATGCCTCGTGATTTGTGTGGTCCTGCGTGTGTGTTCTAGTTTGTGTGTGTGTGTGTTAGGGGACTGGGAAGTGGGGTGAACAAATCTAATTTCAGAGTCACACTTGGTTCAAATAGCTTTCAAATTTCCTTTTTTTAGAATTGGATTTATTTTTTATTTACATCCCCAATTCACGTTTAATCTCAGAAAGGAAATCTTTTCAAAGAGCTGTTTTAGCCAAGATAAATGAATGAACACTGGGATAGTTTACAGTTGATGCTTTACAAGATGGGCTAAAAAAGAGGCTGAAAATACACTGAATTTGTTAATTTATTTTTAATACTAAAAATGTTTTGATTAGCCTCCTGCTCAAAATGAAAAGGAGGCTAGTGTGGGTAAAAAAAGAAAAAAACTAAATGGGGTATTTATTTCCCCACTTATTGGGAAAAACACAACCAGGCAAAAAGCATGACCTCACTGGCATGTGTTTTTTGTCGAGGTGACTTTTTACAAAGCCCTTTAGTTTTTTTTCTCAAGTAAAGTATCAATTCCCTGCTATTCCAGTAAAGTCTGACACTGTTTGGTGTTCCAGCCCTCTGTCCTCTGCGGTACCTTTTCTCCTCATCCGTGCTTTTGAACATTGTGTGCTGGAGTCTTTGCTCTCTCTCTCTCTTCCCCAAACTTAGACACATACTCGAAATGCCTTAAAATGTGACAGAGACCAATTTATGTGCAGGAATTTGCAGAAATATTGACCTGATAAGGACAGGCCTTGCAGAGCATGTTAGGCAGCTACATACTGTTGTTTTTACTGACATGTTGCATGGTTTATGGGCTCTGAACACTTAATAATTTAAATGTTTTCTATCAGGTCGATTGTGGCCTATCAGCCACAGGGAGACAACAGCCACACCTTCGAGGTCATGGCGTTGCTGAAGTCCTTGGGCATGTTCCTGGGAGTTTTCAGCGGCTCCTTTTCTCTGGGAGTGGCCACAGGAGTCGTCACAGCTCTGATATCTTTTCAGTTGCTCCGTTTTGGATTTAATGAGCAAGATGAATTGGTTTTGATCAATCTGTACACTGTATCAGAGCTACAAGGAGTTATGGTAGTTCCTCATTCCTTTTACTGGATAGGATGTAAAGTCCCGGGGTTAGTTTTTCAGTTCAGAGCAGTTGGGATGAATACGGATGAACACAGTCGCAGTAAAACGATGAAGGAAAAAGGAAGCTAAACTAGATGAATAAAGGATCTGAAGAGTCCTGAAGTAGAAATGATCTCCACTCCACAAGTGACTGATTTTGATAGAGTCCTTAACTGCTGTCCGTACGTGACTAAGTTCACCAAACTGAGAGATTTCCAGCTGCTGGAGACGGCCCTTTTCTTCCTCATGTCCTGGAGCACCTTCCTGCTGGCAGAAGCCTGCGGCTTCACAGGTGACAAACACACACACCCACACACTCACGTAATGAGTCTCATTAAGGGTGCAAATCTGGTTCTCCTGTCATATAAATTTAGCAGTAACATAACTAAAAAGCCCCCAAAAAGATTTAAAAAAAGTTTCTTCTGATGGTTAGAAAAGCTAGTTTTATTTTATTATTTTTTGGGTGAGTCCATTCCTCTACCCTTTCCATTTCTAACACAGGATGCAGGGGCTAAAAGTGCCTCAATAATGTCCCTAGTATCAGTACCGAAATTCAGACATCAATAGCCTGTTAAAAAGCTCTTTAACTGGTTTTGTTTTCAAATATCGGACATTTCATCCTATAGCTTAAACCTCAATGATTTTGTTTTAGCTCTTTAAAAGGAAGCATCGGAACATTTACGTTATGAAAGCTGCTGGTTGAAATGTGCCTTTAAGTGAAATAACCAGTGTCTGTTTGTCTGCTGTCTTTTGGGCTGCAGGTGTGGTGGCAGTGCTCTTCTGTGGCATCACTCAGGCCCACTACACCTTCAACAACCTGTCTCCCGAGTCTCAGGACAGGAGCAAGCAGGTCAGGCCTGGACTGCAACCCACACACAGCTTTTTAAAAAGGCCCCTAAAAGAGAGATGTTGTGGCCTTAATAACGAAGAAAGACTCCATATCTCTTCACCACACTGCTTTTTGTTTTGCCCTACATCTTCTAAAGCACTCTGTTTTATTTCTGTGTTGTTTTTTTTTGTTTTACAGCTGTTTGAACTTCTGAATTTCCTAGCGGAGAACTTCATTTTTTCCTACATGGGCCTGACCCTGTTCACCTTCCAGAACCACGTCTTTAATCTGATGTTCATCGTCGGAGCTTTTGTATCTTTTTGAACACAAGGCTAACAACCTCTGTCATCTTTCTGCTCACTTGCTGGTAGAGCTGGGACATTTCCCAGGTTTAGCTTCTCCGGGCATGTTCTCCTTAACCAGACTCCTGCACAGGTGGCCGTGTTCCTGGGCAGAGCCGCTAACATCTACCCGCTCTCGTTCCTTCTTAATTTGGGGCGACGCAACAAGATCCGATCCAACTTCCAGCACATGATGATGTTCGCAGGTTAGTGGGGCCCAGACGAGGATGTTTATCGTGCGGCTTTATATCACACAGATGCGCTCCGCTGGAACAGTTTCCCTGTTTTTGTTCCCCGCGGCAGGAAGATAAAAAAAAAATCCAAGTCTCCCGGGCTTGTAAACAGAGATGACCTAGTTTGTCTCGTCTAAATAGCCGCGCGCCTCTCCGTTTACACCGTCGTCTTTGCTTTGGTTTCAGGCCTGCGAGGCGCCATGACGTTCGCCCTGTCCATCCGGGACACGGCCACCTACGCCCGCCAGATGATGTTCTCCACCACCCTTCTAGTCGTCTTCTTCACCGTTTGGATTTGCGGAGGAGGGACCACTCAGATGCTCTCCTGCCAGCGCATACGGTACGACTTCCTGTCCCCTGCATCGCTTTTTATTTTGAAGCTGTGAATTTGTTCTTCAGGATATAATTAATGCCTCTGACAGTTCAACGGAGCCATTTTGGACTGTCAAAAAGTGAAAAAAACCCTCAAACCTTTTGAAAAAGCTGCTCTGTGCATGAATAATCTAGTTTCCGATCAACCATTACTCATGTGTTTGTTTTTTTTGTTATTATTTGGGGGGAGCAATATTGGGTCAGATTGGAACTGAAAGAATAATTGAGCACAGCCGGGTTTTTGCTCCTTCTCTTGAAACTTTGCCAGAGAAAAACTTGTAAATCAGGAAATAAGCTCCAGACCGCCGTTCTGCAGCTGATTTGAATCTTCTCTTTTCAACAGAGTGGGAGTGGACTCTGATCAGGATAACTCCGTGAGTACGATGCACGCCGATGCGTTCTGCAGCAGAATCAGTTCTGCCAAGCGTGTCTTGGTAAAGAATGAAGGTAAGATAGTAAAACGCTCTGTTTTGCTTCAGATGAGCATCACTGACGGATCGGAGAGGAGAAGCACCAAACATGAAAGTGCCTGGCTTTTCAGAATTTGGTACAACTTTGACCACAAGTATCCTTTTACAAAGGAAGGGTTTTGTTTAGTGAAAGGTGGATGTCTTTGTTTTGAATGTGTCCACACCACGTCCAACGGGGACTTCCTCACCATCGGGCAGCAGATGGAGCCCTTCTTGTAGATTTTAAGGCAGTTTATGTAATCTCTTCCTACTAAAGCACGTAGAGGGTTCAGTTTCATGCATTTAGAGTCCACCAGTGCTCTTTCATATGCAGCGTGTCCTTGACCTGAGCCTCTCCAGCTACCTGAAGCCCATCCTGACCCACAGCGGCCCCCCCCTCACGGCCACGCTGCCCCCGTGCTGCGGCCCCCTCGCCCGCTTCCTCACCAGCCCTCAGGCCTTTGAGGTCAGGACTCATCTCTGGGCAAAACCTGGTGACGACGGTGGTCAAGAACCAGACTAACCAGGCCTTTCCTTTCCCCCCTCCCCCAGAACGAGTGCCAGCTGAAAGACGACGACTCCGACCTCATCCTGACCGACGGCGACATCAACCTGAGCTACGGCGACATCACGGTCAGCACGGACGCCACGGGGGCCCACACCAGCGGCGCCCGGGGCTTCTCGGGCGCCGCCAGCGCCGACGACCTGGACAGAGAGCTGGCCTACGGAGACCACGAGCTGGTGATGAGGGGCACCCGGCTGGTGCTGCCGATGGACGACTCCGAGCCGCCCTTCGCGGACCCCCCCAACCTCTTAAGGATGTGAAAGCGGCCCCAGCAAAGGACCAGAACCTGGCTCTCCATCCGCCACTCCTCCATTTCTCATTCCTCACTCCTCTCGCTTTTTCCCCCGCTTCTCTATTATTTCAGGTTTCTCGCTGTTTCTACCTCACTTTGCTCACGCTCATCTCCACAGCTCTCCGGCATCTCCCATTTGACTCTATTCAAGTACTATTTATTTGCAGTTTTCACAGTGGACAGCTTGACATAGTGGCCTCACCGTAGCAACGCACAGAGGTCCAGCAGCATGCGTCAGTCTGTAAATGCAAGTACCAACCACTAGCTAACCCCTCGATGTACACTATATCCCAAGATGACTATATCTTTGTCCTGCATGCAGAGGATGTTTGCTTTTTTTTCTCTCGCAGTATCTGACTTTTACAGCTCTTTCTTTTGGGCTTGGGTCTGACTTTGAATGTTGCTGCCTCAGGGGCGAGCTGACCCCCGTGGACAACTTTACTGTACCTTTTGGTTCAATTTAAGTGCCTGGGAGTTGTAGTTTTAAGCATGGCGACCCGTTTGTTGGATGGGCTGTGAGAAACGGAGCTACTTGAGGGCGGGCAGTCGTTCACTTTTTCCTTTGCAAAAAAACAAAACAAAAAGTAAAAACACACGCCGCTCTCTGTAAGGTAGCAATCCTCTCAGCGGGCGTTCGACAGTTTGTGCTGTTTGCTTGTAAATAGCGCGCAACAATGTGACCTGGCAGCGAAAGCTATGGATCTCTCTCAGTGACCTTAGACTGTGACACACACAGAGAGGCTTTACACCTTATTTTAGAAGCTGATGCCACTGGCAGGAGTACGAAGGGCTGCGGCTGTAACAACGAGATCCAAAGGAAACTAAACTGAGAAAGCTTTGTGCCATTTTTTTCCCCCTGAGTTCTGACATTTTATGGAACGCACGTGACCTTAAAGTGTTATGTATGCTGTTTTTCTGCAGTACTTTAAGCTGAATCCAACTTTTTCGTACCCATTGTGCTTTTTTCACACATTTTCTACATTGCATTTTGATAAATTTAACGATCATGCTAACTAAAAAGATATTTTCATGTTAAATTACCTGAAAAACCTAATTAGAAACCTGAATTTGAATCTAAAATCATCAGTCTTTTGATCTTTTTGAGGGTAATCTTGGCAAATCAGGGAGATGATTGTATCTGGTTTAAAGAGGGCTGCGACATTTTCATTATCCGTTCATGTGCCAGATAGTTTTTGATGAATACGGGAATGGTGAGGTCTGTAAAATGTCAGACAGCTGTGACTACAGCTCCAAAAGCTTCCCGAGCTTAAACCCGACATATTTCAGAATGGTAAGAAACTGAGCTGAGGACGGATGTGAAGCTGTGCTCACAGCCCTCACTTTTCTAAAGGTGTTACTAACTCCTTTGCATAAGACAAGTCCATCTCATTATGAATCACGTGAATCCGTCCAACAGTTGATCTTTGCAGTGCTACTGTGGCAGATCGTCACTGTGAAGATTACCAGAATGTATCAGGAGTTCAGATGCTGGATGTGTTGTGTTTTTACACAATCGACAGTTATTGATCAGATGCGTTAAGTTATTTGTGGTTGAATGCGTTATATTTGGGCTGTTTTGATGGATGGAGGGAGGGCGGAAGGTGTGGCGAGCCCGGCAGCTGTTGATGCGGCTTTAACAGGAAGCCTTGATAGGATGTCGCCATGGCAACACTGTGTTGAGTCTGAACCCATGCCAGGAAACATTTTGGTGACTTGGCAGAACACCACCGTTTTGTGTTCTGGCCTCTTTGTGAGCCAAAGAAAAAGATAACCATGTGTGTGTGTGTGTGTGTGTGTGTGTGTGTGTGTGTGTGGAATGAATGCCCAGACTGTGGACGATGGGGTTAAAGAAAGGAGAGAGAGCAAGAAAATCCAAACTGTGCTGGTGCCAGTGTTCGTGTTTCGGGGTGATACAGAGGTGGAAGGAAGAGCATGCTTGTACATATGAAGCTTTTCCTTTCACAGTTATCTTCTGCTGTGCAGGAACTTCTAATTTAACTTCAATTTTTTTTTTTAATCAGGCATTCATTGCGACACCATATTTTCTGTCTTATGATTTGAGTTCACCGACCTGATATGTTTTGTTTTTGTCAGGAGTATATTTTCAAAGAAGGGGTATTGTAGTAAAAAAAAAACTGAAAGTTGCACTCATAAAGTAGTTTTTTTTATGATTCATGTATATTGATCTAACATCTTATTTTGTTATATTTGATTTTGAGTTTTTGAGGAGGAAAAAAATGACAGAGTCCTGTTGAAATGGGGTACTTTCTGTTGCTTCGTACAGAAATATGGTCACCTTGTAACAGCAAAAGATATGAAATCTTTCATTCGATCATTCCATCTTTTCAGGTACTTTGTATGATGTTTGTCTGCAACAAGTCGCTGTTTGAACGCTGCCATGACATGTATTGAGTCTGAACTGTGTCCACTAACAGTGGACCCTTCAGATGGGGGAGGGGGGGGGGGGGGATCGGGGTCTTGGTGTTTTTACTACTGCTCTGTTCTGTCCGCTCTCTGACCGGTGACTTCTTATAAAGCTTGGATCATTGGAAATCTTAGTGTGAAGTAGCTGACCAAAGAGGGCTGCTGTGCTCTGTGTTTTTCTGACACTCCACTCTGTCTTTATACTGCAAATTCTCTGTGCGTCCGTGTGTTTCTCCCAGTGCCTGCAGGTGTATGTGGACGCGTGCACTGTAAGGAAGAGAGACGCTGTCCTCTTTTTGCGCTGTGTTTGCAGGTACTGACTGTTTACATCTGTGTAAATATACGCTCACCTGTTTATGTGCGTGCAATGATCAATAAACAGAAGCCTGTGCTTTTGATTAAAGCCCCTGCTGGAATATATGTCTGGATTCTGTGAGAATAGATCACCCGCTCCACAATAAACAGGAAGCAAACTCATTGCCAGGAGGGATTTTTACAGCAACTGGAATATGTGATGGGATCACCACACCAGGAGCAAGTTCATTCAGTTTTTAGGAGCCTGGTCTGGTTTTTAGGGGCCTTTACACAACATCAATTTGTTTGTTTTTTGTTTTGTTTTTTATTGGGTATCATCTTGATATATTTTACTGCACCAATGAAAAGTTCCAGCATCGTCTCCCCGTCCAGGATATACACTTCCATCCAAACATTTGCAGTCTCTTCCTCTTTAGCCCTCAGTTAGCTGGTTCTCTTCAGTTTCAGTGTTAGTGATGGTTTACATTCGTCTTTTCTGGATGTAGATCAGAGGTGTGTAAATCGAAGCATTTTCATTAAGTAGTAATGAAAAGAACAAGTTCCTAAAACTTAAAGCTTTGCATTTAAAGCAGGTAGCCTTGAGCCCACAAACAGGATGATGATGAATTAAATGTCTGCCCGTTAATGAGTGTGAAATGGGGTAACTGAGCTTTTACCACCACGTAATTGTCTATAATGACTGCATAGAATAGTATTCTGTCCTTATAGTATATATAGTATATACTGTACCATTGTATTCTGTCATAATAGTGACAATACATCAAGGGTATACCTAAATGTACATTTTTCTTCAGGTTCTTTTCTACAAAAAATAACTTTTCACACAGTCCTGCTGTTTTTCTTCATCTGACATATAACTGATGCGGATCAGAGGACATGTATTTTGTTGCGATACTGTAAACATTAGATTTGTCCTTCCTTTTCCACATCGCTTTAAAACTTTAAACATCTTTCATTTGGATAAAGTGGCTCGGGCTGCCTGACCCCCCCCCCAGTCGGGAGAAGAAAACATTCCGAATCAAACGATGAAGACATCTTCCCATCTTCAGGGTTAGGTAAACATAAATATTTTCAAGAAAATGACTCCATCCTCTTTGTTTGGGGTATTTGAATGACTCAGAAAAAATCATTTGACATGACTTCCTCCAGTGTTGCATGTACTGAATACATTTCTGGGGAAAAAACAATAATTTTTTACATCTGTGACTACACAAATGGAATATTCAGGTCTGATGCGTATTATTCTTGCATAAGTCTCACAGAAAGCTCTGGTTGTGCCAGTTTCATGTGCCGTTTAATGCTCACATGAGCAGGTTTCCAAGATATCAGGTAACGTGCACCTAATATGGGCACAACTCACTCCAGTCTTCTCTAGAATGTTTGTTCACTGGGCCAGGGAGGAAATGGTGATTTTTAAAGGCCAATTTCTACCAGGCCTTTGTCGGGATTTGATTTACCAAAAATTCCACAACGGAACTGATTGTTTTTCCATTGACATCTACAAGGATAGAATATCAAGCACTAAGTTTCTGCTCCGGTTTTATTGTTTCATTAGGACAATGAGAATTTTCCCTCTTTTATTTGGTGTACATATTTTATCTTTTTGTTTGATTAGTGTAATGAGGCCTCATAAAAATGATAACTTACCTCTTCCAGCCAGATGTCCGCTGCAGGACAGCTGGAGCTGCAGACACTAAACACACAAACCTCATCATAATGTCACAACTGTTATGATTGTGCGTTCATTACGCCCACAATGCCGCTGTGTGTTTACAGTAACGGGGTTGGTTTGAACAACTTATTGCTCAGCAGATGCGCACTCCTTACATCCAGGGGGGAGGAAAAGGAGTCAGGGTATTAATCTCAGTTTTTGCTGTTGCTTTGCACAACCCCGACAGCCTTAAAGTGACACTGAAATACTCCCCTCACATATTTTGTCACATGATTAATAAACTCTGATGTTTATCTCAGTGGAGGTGATGATGAACGGTCCAAACATAAATGAAGAATGATGAATAATCACAGTTACACAGCCGATATTACAAGACGGATTGTGTTTTCTAATAGAAATGATAAAATAATTTAACTTTAAGGTTACATTTACAGACTGTGTGCATTTACTTTGAGCTAGGAATGACTCACGTTGATATAATTTATTTTCCTTACCAAAGAAGGAGACGTTGGAGACTAAAACTGAAGAGGGACAGAAGAGTTTCAGGTCCTGAAGTCAGTCCATCATGAACAAACATCAGAGATAAAAGTCAGCCTAAGTTCAGATTCCCGCTGATCTGAAGTGTTTCCTACTCTAACAGGTTGTTGAGCCTCAGTTCTCGTTGTTGTAGGAAAATTATGATCACTTTCATGAAGATTCCTTTTTGTCTGGAGCGCAGGACCAATGAGAACTCCCGGAGAGAGCTTGTAAATTCCTGGCTGAGGTCATTGTTTATGAGCGCTTTTAAGAGGTTTGGCTCATGTCCTGTATGTTTTTTTTCCTTCTTCTCTCTCTCTCTCTCTTTCTCTCTCTCTGCTGCCCTGTCTTTTAAAGCTGCTCCGACTTTGCGCATTCTAACCTCACGGCCAAACCCTCCGGACACATCACACACACGCTCACACACACACACGCGCCGCCGCAGGCTGAAAGGCGCACGTCTCTCCGCTTTGCAGAGGTGAGTCCAAACCGCTGGCACCGGTCAGATGCCTTGGAGTGATGCTTATCAGTAAGGAAGACGTTTACCGTTTCAGATCCGGCGCGTCAAATGCGTAATTGCGACTATTTTCTTATCAGAGGGATGTCACATGCGCCTAATTTAGGGAACGTGGGAAAATACGCGCAACTTATTTAGATCCAGTTCAGTATTTTAGGCAACAGGTGAAGTGAAGCTCGTTGGATCATCAGCCAACCTCCCAAAAGTTTGACCCTCGTATGTTTACGCGTTTGTAATTCACAGTTTAAAGTGTTAACAGGTAATATCTGGCGTTTTGACCCCTGAGAATCAGTTTTTGGAAGTTTCAAATTCACAAAAGAAGAAAAACAAGTAGAAAGAGTCATGTTATTCTAATGTTATTATTAATATCTGACGTTACCTTAATTTTTGGTAGAAAAAATTTAATGTGAAAGTCTATTGTGTCATTCACTCACATGGAAAATGTTCTAACAATGAAAAGATGTGAACTGTAACCCCTTGTATGATCAGCAGCTTAATTTACAGTTGCAGGGTTTTTTTGGATGAGATGACATCACTTTTATATGAATACGTCTTGCAGGACGGCGGATGTCCCGGGACGTTTATGTCCCTCATTAAAGTTTTGGTCCATGCAATGAACAGCAGAGCCCTCAAGTTAGCATGTGTGGCTTCAAGCTGTTAAAACATGCCTCTCCTCCTTCCTTGTCTGAGCAGCTGCCAAGCCAAATGCATGATGTCATTAGAAGGAGCCAGAGATTAGGGCTCTTTTTCTGGCACCCGGGACCTCCTTGTGGCCCCGGCATTACTTCATCATCCTCAAGAAGCCCATAAAATCTTTTAACTTCACTGTGTAATGAAATTCTTGCAGCCTGAGAAAACCACTTTTTTTCCCCTGGAGGTTCTTGTAGCAAATCCTAAACCACATTTAACACTCAAATAAGATGATGATCCGTGTTAAAATTAGCTCAGGTTCAGCTGGAAAGTCATTGCGTATTTACTCCTCATAGCTTGTATATTATGATTAATTTTCTTGCTTTTGAAATGGTTGTGTTTCTGTTTCTGTGCGGTTGTGTTTCTTTGTTAGGACAGAAGAGGCTCAGATGTTAGCAGCATGTTCAAGTATAGACTTTGCTTTTGTTGAGATGAAGCCTCATCTCTTTCTTTTTTTCTATTTCAAATGACAGAGGGTGTGGTCTGCTACCGATGACAAAGTTGATCAATTGCATGCGTCCGCCCGGAGCACGACTCCTAAATAGGCAACGCGGGTTGTGGGTCTGCGTGGGCTGAGCAGAGTTGAGCGGGGGCAATGTGTCAATATGTGAGGATGTACTTCTGGGCCCTGCAGCTCCTGAAAAACAGAAAGTGAGCCGCACATGATTATTCAGTCAGTGATCGTGGAAGAGAAGAGAAATGGGAAAGAAAAGAAGAGACACAAAAGGGACAAGAGATGCCATGATTATGATTAGTAACTAAACCATTTTCTTAAAAAAGACTATGTAAAAGAACAGTTGAATTGATGTTCCACTGGAATTTGTTTTCTTTTTCTTTTTAAATAAAATGTAAAAATGGCTGATGAAGATAAAGTTATGTCAATGCAATCTTACACAAAATTTAAACTTTAGAAATGTGATCATGTAGAAAAGGGAACATTTTATGGCTTCCAGGGGTGAGGACAAAGGCTATAAAACTCATTTTCTATTTTAATATTATTTTTACAAACTATTTCTATATTTGTATAACTTTAAACCATAACTAATGAGAATATCTCCATAACTAAAAGCACCTCCATGGTTTTCCCAGTGTATCATAATCCGAACACTAAAGCTCAAGCTGAATCTTGTCTTCTCTGTGAAGTGTTTCTTCACACATCACCAGAGAGAACTGACTCCATTCTTTGTGTGGAGACTTGAATCATGTGAGTGCAATGAGAGCTGAGGTGTACACGACACACAGTGCTGTTTGTGCAGTGAACGTGTGTGTGTGTGTGTGTGTTTGGAGTTTTTTGGCCCTGGCTTCCCCTCTTGGCCTTTTGTCCACACATATTCAACCTCAGTGTGTCTGGGTCTTGCAGCCGGGTCCTGACCTGAAGTGTGTGTTGTAACATAGTGAAACATGCGGCGTGGCGTGTTTGTGTGTGTGTGTGTGTGTGTGTGTGTGTGTGAATGGTGAGTCACTGTTTCCCTGACAGAGATAGCGTTACTGGGTCTGTCCGCCCACTAGCCGCACTCGGAGGGTGACTGAGACACATGGGAGTCCTGGACAAGAGGTCAGGCTGAGAAAAAAAGAGCTTGTTGACGCAGAGGCGAGGCATTCGTTGCCCATGGCAACAGCACAATAAGGAAAGCTGCTCATTTCAATTTAGATTTGATCTAATGTCCTCAGGAAGTACAGGCGAGGTATCCTGTTTCAAAGGAAACTTCACTCAGAAACGGTGGGGATATGTGGTACATGGTACATGAAAATATATCTCTAACCCCTCAGTCTTCTTTCTTTATCAACTATAAACTATAAAAAGGTTAAGTTCAGTCACTTTGTGTGTTGAAATCATACGATTTGTTCCAGGTTCAGAATAACAAGCAGTTATTGTTGCTGTTTTAAAAGTGGGGCTTTGCAGGCAGCAGGTGGGGAGGAGGGACCTGCATTCCAGCTTCTTTGTGTGTCAGGTCAGTGGTCCCAGGGTGGAATTAGCACCGGCAGAAGAGATGGAGAGGAGACCGTTAGCTCACTCGGAGTGAAAACACATGTTTTTTTATGCCATCGGTGTCTGAAAATGAGAACAAGAAGTCAAGTCCCGCTGCACGAAAAGCACATTTTATTCAAATGAATGCTAATTGTGGTAGGATTCTCTCATAAATGTGCACACTAAAATATAAAACAGGTTAGAATGCCTTAGAAAAACTAAAAACGTTGGGATCTGGACTGACTCATCTGCCTAAATCTCTCCTGAATTGAAAAAAAAAGATGAATTATTAATCATAAAATAAAACAAAGAAGATATAGGACTGTCCTACATCAGGCAAGAATTAAACTATCTTTACAATGTTTTTACATATGTAAATGATAAAAAAAAATGAACGAGATGAGATCATTTTAAGCCCAACTGCTATTTACTTTTGCCAACTTAAGGACTCTCTTTGAAATTGAATCTCTTTAGAATTTAAAAGTGGATTTTAATATGATTAAACTGGTAAAATGCAAGATGGTAAAGTTTAAAAAGATTTCTTTCACGTTTGTCATGATCCTATTTATCAGTTTTAAAAGATGAAAGATTAAAAGAAAACTGGACGAGAGGCTCAGTGGTATCTTCTTGTGGATACCAAAAAAATTTAACTTCAATTTTCTGATGTAACATTGAACAGACAGTCTTGAGATTTTTGGGACTGAGATTGTCTGGGAGCAGTGTGGCGCCTCCCTACACTCTAATTACTCATTTTGGTGACCGATGATAAAAAGGGACAAATGTAATGTTGATGTTGTGCTCTTTTGGTAATGGACCAAATCAAATCTGTAATTACAGCCAGATGCCTTTTTAACCAGCTAGCTCCCACACAGACAGGCTCCCACACCACTCATTTGTTTTGCTGTTCCATGCTTGTGAGGACCCACCAATGAAATGACCCAAACACTGGACCGTCCATCTTAACCTCACAGCCAGCATCACAGCCTTTTGAAAAGGGAGAAAGATTTTTTTCTAGAATAGAAAAATTGTTGTTTTCCAAAGTCAAGGAGTGCGTCTTTCCTCTTTAAATGGACAGTATTCTGATTAAAAACAATCTCTGATAGGCAGATTTTCTAATCATTCTTTTTTTTTGTATGCATTTATTTATTTGAAATAGCTTTTGGGCCTCAAGACCTACATACAGTATGGAGCCACAAGAACCCAGCTCCAAATAATAAGTTAAGATTTTCTTCTCATAGTCATTACATTCTTTGAGCTAATTTAGTTTTTCATTTAGGTCTATAAAGACACAAGAGATTGCTCGACTCAGTGTAGCCAAAACAGCTTTTCTCATGACTCATCCTTCTGATTCTAAGAGGTTGGACTGCTGATATTTTCATGTGTTGGCCGGTCGGAACCAAACATTTCATATGGAGGCAGGGGGAGTATCTGTTATCCTCACTGGGCAAAACCTCCACTGTGCTTTCTCTTCTTTTAACTTCTGATGTGAGTGTGATAGAATTCAATCTGCATCAACTAATCTATCCTCCCTGCTTGGCCTAATCCTCTCCATTCTCTAATGCACATCCTAAAAAGGACAGGAGGGGTGAACATCGGGTCTGGTGGTCAGATCATGGGCGTGTGGGGGGTCACTGAGGGGTATATAGGGGCTTCCTGGACTGGGTGATGCTCAGGTTGTCTGGGTTTGACCCTCTGTGGATGTTACTGGCCCTGCTCCGGCTTTCTCTTCGCCCTCGTCTTCTGAGCCCGACCGCAGCCAAAACATGACTTTCTACAAACATTCAGGTAAAAAAAAAAAAGCTGCTCACATTGTTGTTTGTAAAACCTAAGTTGAGTATTTGTGGCGTCATTTGCACCGCTCTGACCATTTTTTAGACAATCCAGTGGATGACAAATTGTTTATTCATCTTGACGATCTGGGGAGTTTTTCTCATTCCATAGAATAATCCTTAATCTTTCTGGTTGTTGAAGAGAGAAACCGTTCTTTGGAAATAAAATTATTTTGTAGGTGGCAAAGTTTGTGCATTGAAGTGTTTTTATGATACTGTTTGATTTTAAAGCACAGATTTAGACCAAAGACTATGCTCAGCACTGCATTAGTCCACATATAAAGCTCTTTATTAAAAATAAATTAATTTGAGGATGTGATAGTTATGTAAGCCAAAGTTTAAAATCAGTCATTTTCTCTCACATGGGTGAGCTAAAGTGTTTAAAACCTGGAGTAAAGTTTGTTTTACTCAAACGTTACTGTTGAATGAGTTTATCTTTTGGCCTTTCTTGAAAGTAAAGCCTCTTGAAAAGACAGAAAAGTGTCAACTCATAACACAACTGATTTTACGATTAATTCATATAACCCCATTAATGACATCTTATGACTCTTCTATAAACGTATATAACATTTTGCACATTAGCGTGGACAGTTACGCTTTTCTGAAGTCAAATTTATCGGAATCTCGTGTTAAAAAAAACTTGAGATCATCATTAAAGGTCCAATATTTTTTTCAAGAATCAAAGTTAAAAAATATTTTTGTTCTAGGCTTTCAAATACTGAGCCGTGGTTCACTTATTTTTTTAGTAGCACTTTACAAGTGAGACATTTATGTTAAGGAGGCTAATTTTGTGAGTGCCACTGACCATAAACAGAAAGCTTCATTAAAGATAGTTTATAACATGACATGATGTGACATGGTGTAGTTCAGATTGTCCGATTGTCCAGTCTTTGCGTCACCTCTCGTACCTCTGCCCTTTCCTCACTACAGAGGACTCTTCCCCGTAGACCTCGGGGTTGTTTGATCCCGTCCCTGGATAGCTGGGCGTCAGACTGTGCCAGATCACATAACTGTTCGACAGGGAGGCAGCTGCCAGTCTTGTTTGCGACTAAAGATTAACATACTGGCCGCGTTTCAGCCGGAGCCACAATGGCCGCATCGGCCCGCATCCCCCCTGCATCCTCCCCCAGGGGGGGTTAAGTGTTCCATAAATAGGGTGTAATTCTAAAACAGATCTGTGATGCTGTGGTGAGATGTGACAAGGTTAATTGTGTTGGACGGGTTGTGTTTGGCTTGGTGAGGTGAGTGGAGATGAGCGGGGAGGGGGGGGGTGGGGGGGTTACCAGTGCTTAGTCTTCCGTCTGTTCTTTATTCCAGAAGCACAGCTGCACATTGCTCCAAACCGTTTGCCATCCATCCATCCACACACACACACACACACACACACACACTTACCGGGGGAACATGCGCCGCTCCGGGAGGCTCATGTTGTTGACCACATCCCACTCAAATAGCCACATTCCCCCCCCTTAAAAATATTTTCCCTGCTCCTATGGTTACTAAGTCAGCGCCCCCCATTGTTTCCTCCTTTGCTCACGTTTCAACGGAATGGATTAAAAGTTTATTTTTTGCATCGCCGAATAAAGAAATTCAGCTGCCTGTCAGGAACCGAAGCCTTAAAGTGGTGAAGATCAAGCTTAAAATGGCCACAGTTACATTCCAGAAAACTCCTCTCTCTCTCTCTCTCTCTGTGGATGAGATCTATGATAGGAATCCAGGAATGCGACAGAGTGAAAGGGCAACTGAGCTGTTTACATAAGAGTCTAATAGGAGGGACCGTCCAAAATGCAGATATGGCTCAGAGGAACCAGAACTTAAAGGTTGTGGGTGAAGCCGGCCAGAGATACGAGCTGGGCCTTTTCGGGGGGAGGGGGGGGCTTGATAAACCGTCTGAAGTACTGACATCCCAAAGGCTGCTGTTTCTCCTCAGTCACACTTCTCTCATCGGTTTGGTATGTCGCTGTAGGAGCCGGATATCACGCTGTCTTTGGAAGACTGCTGGAAAAAAACAGCATTATTCTGAACTTCTCTGCATATATTCCGGGCTGTTCAGGTTTTGGGAATTCATCCTCGGTCCTCACAGGGACTTCAAACAATCTCTGGTTCTCATTTGGATTCAAACGACCGGCCGAGGCAGATGGCCGCCCACCCTGAGCCATGGTTCTGCTCGAGGTTTCTGCCTGTTAAAAGGAAGTTTTTCCTTGCCTGTGTCGCCTAGTGCTTGCTCATGGTAGGAATTGTTGGGTTTTCTGTTATTAACTTCAGAGTAGGGTCTGACCTTGCTCTGTTTGGAAAGCGCTGCGAGACAACTGTTGTTGTGATGTGGCGCTATATAAATAAAATTGAATTGATAAAATTGAAACGATGTGGTTGGTTTAAAATGACCTGATCCTCATTTGTATTTGTTGTTTTACTGGATGCTGAACTAGAGGGCTTCTCCTGTGGTTTGCCAGGTCCCAGGACGTACGGCACCGCCACCATGAGCGAGCGCATGGACTGCTACTACTGCCGGGACAACCTGCAGGGGAAGAAGTACGTCAAGAAGGACGAGAAGCACGTGTGCACCAAGTGCTTCGACAAGCTGTGCGCCAACACCTGCGCGGAGTGCCGGCGCCCCATCGGTGCAGACGCCAAGGTGAAAAGACAGGGGGGGGGCATGAGTGAGTGAGGAGAAGGAGGTGACTAAAGTTTTTTGTGAAGATGTTCTTGTTGAGCTAGTTTGAGCTCTTCCATTAGGAAATCACATTCCCTCCCCCCGGGGTCACTGTAGTTGTCCTTTATTCCTTCCTTGTGCTTCAGTTCACATGTAGTTGTCCTTTATTCCTTCCTTGTGCTTCAGTTCACACGTAGTTGTCCTTTATTCCTTCCTTGTGCTTCAGTTCACATGAGCAGATGTACAAACCCCACCATTTTTTGGGGATCTGCACGAAGGCCCCCTTCGCGATAATCCGTTTTTCCTCTTCTTTTTTCTTTCAGGAGCTGCATCACAAGAACCGGTACTGGCACGAGGACTGCTTCCGCTGCGCCAAGTGCTACAAGCCGCTGGCCGGCGAGCCGTTCAGCGCCCGGGACGACGGCAAGATCATGTGCGGCAAGTGCGGCTCCCGGGAGGACGGCAACCGGTGCCAGGCCTGCTACAAGGTGGTGATGCCAGGTGGGTTTGAACGAAGCGTCAGGTGCTAAAAACGTCACACGGCTTTTGCACGGGCTCAGATCTACTGTTGTGTCTTTGTCTTGTTTCCAGGTTCCCAGAACGTGGAGTATAAGAAGAAGGTGTGGCACGAGGAATGCTTCACCTGCTTTGAATGCAAGCAGCCGATCCGTACGCAGAGTTTTCTGGCTAAGGGCGACGACATCTACTGCGTCCCCTGCCATGACAAGAAGTTTGCCAAGAAATGCTTCCACTGCAAGCAGGTACAAGCAATTCTCCTGTCACCTGCTAATTTGTAGGCTTATATAAGTGTTTAATTAATTAGATTGACTACAACAACCACGTCCGATGTGTAAAACTCTTTCTAAGATCCCTAACTTTACCCGTGAGTTCATTTGAGGGAATCGTATTCCAGCTCTGTTGGGTTCGACCTCGTGATGAACAACGCCTCTCTGCCTCTTTTTAAAGCCCATCACCTCTGGAGGGATCAGCTACCAGGAGCAGCCCTGGCACTCCGAGTGCTTTGTGTGCAGCACCTGTCGTAAACCTCTGGCCGGGGCTCGCTTCACCTCCCACGAGACCGGCGTCTACTGCGTGGACTGCTACAAGACCGACGTGGCCAAGAAGTGCCACGGCTGCAAGAACCCAATCACAGGTCAGCGCCTCGTTTTGATCAGGCAACAGACACAGTAACGTCATGTCCAATGAGAAAGAATAAATGTCACCTACTTCCTTATTTGGATGTTTGCAGCTGTCCTGTCTTTATTTTTATCGCCAAATTAAACAGAAGCTGAAATGTTGATCCTCTCACTGAATGTTGGTTTTAGACTCGGAGAATGTACTGCTAATCCATTCAGACTCTCCTTACGCAATGTTGAGGCCCCTCTTTCTCCCTTTTTTAATACTGAAGGGTGATTTTAGTCCTTGAACATCATGTTGTTAACAGGTAAAAGTTGGCACATTAACTGGAAGACATTTGGCAGGGTATGATCTTTCCAACTGTTCCATCCTCTGTCCTCAAAGATCTAATTAAAGCTGAAAGTTGACTTTCTTTGTATCCACCCCTGCAGGATTCGGCCACGGCACCAACGTGGTGAACTACGAGGGATACGCCTGGCACGAGTACTGCTTCAACTGCAAGAAGTGCTCCCTCTCCCTGGCCAACAAGCGCTTCGTCATCAACGAAGAGCACATTTACTGCCCCGACTGCGCTAAGAAGCTGTAGAGCGCACGCCCAGCTCGGCCGTGGATCAGGATCTGAAGTGGAGCCGCACCAAAAGTGACTCCTGGACTGTTTTTGCATGAAAGATTGAAATAACGATCCATTCTGTGTGATCAAACACACCAGAAGTCAGTTTTGGTGAAACTACTTGTGCACACGCTTTCTTTGCCTGCAGTGTATCTGGTTCAGCTTCTGCAGTTAAATACCATGCCAGACGTTTGTTTTTTTTAATGCTGTTGTTGGATTGTGTATTATTTTCTAGGATTCCGAGCTGCCTTATTAGACAAAATTTTTAATGCCTTACCGAAGCCTAAATGCTTTTCCTCTGCTGGCAGCTGCTCACACATACATGTTACATTCTAAATGTTGGAGTGGATTTTTGAGTTTAGACCTGCTTAGAGGGAATTTGAAGCACAAATTGTGTTTGATCAAGGAAGATAAGCAACTCATGTATTCAAAATATGAAGACGTATAATGCAAATTAGAATAAATGCTAGTTGCAAGAAGCATCTTTTTTGTTTGTTTCCCACATCAAGTAACAAACTCGTACAAGACAAAATTTTTGCCAAACTTTATTGTTTTAACAGTCCATAACATCTCAGTTCTCTTTAGCTATATTTACAATACAAATTTTATTTGTGTACAGGGGGTTAATACCAAATCTTCCAAAGAAATATTCATATTCACAGAGTTGCCCCAGTTGGGTAGACTGATTGTCGAGGTAAGGACACGCTTTCTTAGTTGTGACGCAATAAAAACAGTAAATCTCAATCTAAGGCACCGTTCTATCCTATCATTACAGACAACATTGAGGATGGAGAGCCGTGGGCTCTGCGATTTATCCCCCAAAGATGCAGCAGGACCTGGAATGGACACAAAATCTGTTCAAGCAGCAACTACAAAAGTTCTCAAACAAGTGCCTCTCATGAGCAGAAAGTAGAGCAGGGAGGGCCGGGGAGAAAGTTTCAGGATATATTTGCTTAGAGTTAGGATTGAATGAACATCTGGGTGAGAAGAAAAAGGAAAAGAAAAAAAAATCAGAGAACCACAGAAAAACGGCCCTTTTCTTCTACACGTATCAGACGGCTCCCTCTGGTCTGTGTTTGAACAGTAAAGCTACAAGCAAACGTTACACGGCGGAGTCTTGGGTTTCCTCGGAGGATAGTGCGTGGATGCTGAGAGCCGGCAGCTTGGGAGATCTGCTAAATTACGCAGGACAGTTTGACGAGTCTGTTACATTCTTTGAGCTTGGTAGTGAAAGCTGAGATAAGAAAAAGCTCAGAGTCTTTATGAATAGAAAGAATTTAGTCAGCCAGCGGAGAACAAGGCAATAGTCAAGGTCCACAAACCTCAAGCTTGGACAAATGGAATTTCGACAATTCAATATAGTTCATGAAAAAAATCCGAGGGGACAGAAAAAAGGTAGAGAAATCACGTCTGACCCACATCCCACAGGTGGATGTGCCCTCTGTATTACAGTAAAACAGCTGAAACCATTCACCCCCCCGTCCTTTGATGTAATAAAAACCTACTTTGACTAGTTTGTGAGCCCCGTGAGGCTCAGCTACAGCTCTGATCACATGCTGCCAAGTTTCTAACCAACTCTCCACTTTAGTCTATGATTTGTGGAGGACCTAAATTCACACGCCCGACGAGGCCCGGATCAAATTTTTTAAGAAACGCGTATAGTGGATCCCCGCTTGAGGGGCTCTTTTTAAATGTTGGGTTTTCCTGGCTGCACAAGCCAAACCTCAGTAATGTGTCAGGACACCAAACTGATCCTAACTGTCAGCAACATAGACTTAAATTATCCACAACCTGAGCCATTCCGACCTATGCATGGCTTAATTTGCCTAATACTGATTCTATACACAACATAATAACACTTAAATATATGCGGAAATGTCATTTTTATATAAACCAATTTCTATACTATAAAAACAGCTGAGATGCATTTTGTCAAATGTAGCAGCTAGTGGGAGTTAAGAAAGTGGAATTTAGAGGAAAGTGAAACTGGCAGAAGAGCGGGTGAAAGAGTGAAACTCAGGTCGGTGAAAACCTGATTTCTAGCTTCAGCAAAGCAAAGCCTGGAGGTCCAGCTCAGTAACACGTCCCATCTAAAGGAGCACAGAAGCAGCCATGACTGACTGTTTTCACCTGTGTGATACCATAGCATGTTACAGGTGCAGTTATTCAACGTTTGGATGGTGCGGAGGAAAAGGTCTTCACCTACGAGACAGAAACCAGGTAACTGAGGCTGTCATGTAAATTCTAATGTTAGTAAACAATTATTCTATATACAGATGTAGGAATAAACCTAAGTCAGCCCTGTGTTGGATAATCAACAAACAGTTGAAACTGTGCATGTGACTTTACCAAAGTCTTGTCAAAAACGGAAACCAATTATGTTTAAGCTCATCACGCCCTCTTGTGGTGAAGGAAGGAAATGCAAAAGAAAGAATGAAGTGGACCGAAGAACTAACAGAATCCACCCATGTTTGTACATGATGGAGAATCATAAACAGTGCATGTACGGGCTACAACACAAACTACTTTGTATATTCATAAGTGAAAATAGGAGGTTGGAGGGGAAGTAAAACAAAAAAGCAAAGGTAAGGCCATATTGCTGAATGCTGAAAAGAGCAACTGGTCAAGTAAATTGAGGTGAACCACAAGCAAAATGGGGGACGCCATACCAAAAGAGAACAGAGTGTATCAACATGTCTTCCAATAATGTGCATGTGTCCTGGAATATTCTCATACGAGAGAAAAGACTAAACATTTAACAACCATTACAGTAACAAAGAAGCAAAAATTAATAAATTACAACAATGAACCCCTGACAAAGTAATAATGACTTAAAAAATTAATTTGGACACAGTTGAAAAAAAAAAAAATTGCACAAGAGGAAGAGGAAAGGGCCCTGGAGCAAGGATGCCGGAGGAACATACAATATTTCCCTGAAGCATAAAATAAATGTAGTATATTTATTTCCTCAATGTGTCGGGTGCAAATGCGGCTCTCAGGGTGGCCTTTCCGCTCCACCTTGTGCTCCTCCCGCGACAGCGGCGGGAGGAGACAGACGAGAAGCTGTTTGGAACTGACAAGAATCTTTTAAGGAGCTCAGCTGGACAGGAACTTTGGGAGTGCAACTTTAAGAGGCTTCTGAGCGGCGACAGCAGCGTCAAATCTCTGAAAAGACCAGACAAGAGGTTCAGTCCATGGGAACGGCCAGCCGGGGCGGCACCTGGAGCGGGGGCGGCGCCTCACCTGACATGGCTTCTATGGGCTGATTAGAGGAATGCAGACTATTGATGGGGGACCCCTTGTCCTCGAAGGCTACCCGGGTCCCGTCGGAGCGCCCGTCACAGTTGATCAGAACCTGGTTACAGTCTTCTGCCTCGATGAGCGGTCGGGTCTTGGAGTGCGCGTTGACATCGATAAGTTCCTCAAAGCTCCACTGGTTGGACTTCACATTGAGGCTGGAGACCAGCCCCACTTTGGTGGCGTCCTGCTCGTTCAGGAACTCGGAGCCCTCGACATGGCAGCTCTTTGGGGCGGGGCTACAGAGGGGAAGAGGACAGTTTACTGGGAGAGGCCATGAAACAGAAGGGTCTGAAAACACCTCAGTTCATCCCTAAAAACTGTCAAAAAACATGCTGCTAACTACTTTAAAAAACAGCTGGACATTACTGGAGGTTCTGGTAGAAACTCTTTAAACAACTAACAACATCAGGACAAAACCTGTTCATATCCACGTGAACTAATCATCTGTATTGTTGGGAGGAACTCGTACCTGACTGCCTGAGTCTCCTCTGTGCCATTGTTATTCTCCTTGTCCTCCGTCTCTGGTTTTCCATTCACGCTGCCCAGCGGCTCCTGGCTGACCGCGGGCTCACCACACGAGAGGTCATCTGAGACACCCTCCTTGTCCATGTCTTCTGGATAGTCTACAATATTTATGAATGAATGTATGGTCATACAAACAAGCTGCAGGTGTGAAAAACAAAAAACCCCTTGCTTGATGTCATCCTTCAATGGAAAATCTCCTCAAATCATCATCACCATCATCATCTTTCCATCATCGTGGATCTTGTTCTCCATTAGGACCAAAAACCTGCACTCAGGTTTTTTTTGTCCAAAGGATATTGTTACAGAAAGCTCGAGTTTCACTTAAGTTGAGCTTCTATGTTTTTTCTATGTGAGGAAACTACCTTTTGCAACTCCCCAACAAGCCTTTCTTCTACTCATACTGTGATGAACTCCAACATTTCACCTGCTAACTGAAGCCTGTGGAGTCTGAGATGTAGCTCTGTGATTTCATATAATTTACTGGCAGTCTGATGTGAACTTACTTTTAAGGACCTCAAAAAGTTTATTTTTAAACCACATCCTGAAATTTCAAACATTCAAACTGACAGGGGGAAATCTTTTACGTGATTATTGATTGAAACCAGTGTTTGCACAAAACAAAAATAAATATGAGGGTGAACACTTACTTTTGGTTTCACAGTCTAGCTGGTCCATATCATCATCATCGTCATTGTCCTGTGGGGATTTATCATCATCTCTCTACAGACAAAATAAAGATGTTAATCACGGTTAATACAGTATTACACCCCACAAACACTTTACGACATTCAGCATGTGCTGATGACTGAAAGTGACCTCACCTTAGGGTCATTTGGGTCCCCTTTCCTAGTTCTCTTCATTATTTCTTCAATTCTCTGAAATTGAAGAAAGAATAAAAGAACATTTATTTAGTTGACCTTTGGAACAAATATAAAGATAATCACACTGTCGTGATCATCAAGAATTTTGGGAGGAAGAAAACCATTTTAAATAGACAGTTTTATAAATAGACAGTTTTTTAAAAAAAAGCCTGAGATTATTCACAAATACCTTTTGATATGACGATTATTAAAAAGATTTAAAATGTTCTGATTTGGTCATCAGTCTATGCATCCTACCTTTTTCCTCTCCATGCGTTCCTGCTGGTTCTGCTGCATAATGCGGTCTCTCTCCTGGCGGACTCTCTCGGCCTCTTCCAGAGCCTTGGCCTCAGCCTCCTCTCGCTCTTTCTGCAGTTCGGCCTGTTTTATGGCTTCTTCCTCTGCTAATTTCACCCTTTCCTCCTCTGCAAGGCGGGCTTCTTCTTCATCTTTAATTTTTCTCTCCTCTGCAAGCCTCTTTTCCTCTTCCAGACGTTTCAGTCGAGCTTCCTCTGCCAAACGATCCTCTTCTACTTTTTTCAGCCTAATTAAAAAAGAAAAAGCAACTTAAAAACACTTAAGAAAAAAATCCTAATCATAAATTAAATTTAATGTGCATAACATGTAAATGGTGTTTGTTACTATACAACAACCCCCCAAAAAATCATTTCGCTATAGAATCAAAATGGCTGAAGATCATTTCTTTGACTGTGGCTCCAACATCCTCACCTCTCCTCTTCCTCCCTCTGTATCCTCAGCTGCTCCTCTCGCTCTTTCTGCTCTCTCATCAGTCTGCGGTTTTCCGCCAGGATTTTAGCTGCCTCTGCTGCCGAGTTTGTGCCCGTCGCGGCTTTAGAGTTTAAACACGAGAAGGAAGGAAGATAAGTTTAGCACTTTGGGTCCGACCACAGTGAGGAATAGGCGTTTAGAGGACAAAGACAAAGCATCTGACTCTTTTTGTAACAATGAAGGGCAGAGATAAGAAACAATGCGAGGCAGAGCAGTGATGGGAAAATGGAGGAGAGTGAAAATGGTCTCATACAGAGTTGTGTAACTTTCACTTGATCATCTTTGGGCTCTTTGATAGATCTTTTTTAGCCTTTCCGAGAACTAATGATCAGGTGATGTGTCAAACACTTCTCCGTATATAAATATCTCAACATCTAACCATCACAACATTACATTTGACTTTGGTACACAGAGCAGTCAGTGTGCCCTACGAGGCTCAGGAAAGGTTTTCAGGCTTCTGAAAACAGCCATGAGCACAGTTCATGTCATCTTTGACATTTCTTCTGTAGATACTTCAAACTAAATGGCATAACTTGTGTGTCTTTGCAACACAAGTTGCTCAGGACAAAGTGCCTCAGGTGGAAGAGATATTGGTTCTTTACCGAGTTGTTTTTAATGAGCAGATAAACTCATAAAAAATAAACATATGCGTCCTTTTGAAAATGGTGCGGTGCAAGAACTGGATGTAAAATGAGCGAAAAATATTCTTTTTAAGAGTTTCCTTCAAGAATGGCTTCTTTATAGCCAGCCCACATGGTGACCATTTCCCATGAGCCTCCAGTGAGCTAAAGATTTATCGCCTGAAGGTCCTCAGGTCCTCTCAGGTCCTGTCAGGTCTAGGCTGGATTTTAATCTCTTTCTCAAGTACATGACTCTCTGTTATTTGCTGTTCGACCTTCTCCCAAATCCAGCCATTGAAATTTGAAAAAAGAAAACACAGCATCTAAAATAGTCTGTCATGTGTAACTAAAACAGCTCATCAGTATATCACCTGATTCAAGTGTCATCTTAAATAAGGAATGAAAACTAAAAAAATTTACGAGACCTTCAGAAAGTCAAACTACCAGCACGATTAGAGGAAATAAAAAATGTTCTGGAAGCAGAAGAGAAAGAAATGAGGGGTGGGTCAGGACATTTGTAGAGTACAACAAAATGTCTATTTGTAAACTGTTAACATCAGATAATAACCCTCCATGCAAAACTTCACAAGCTACTTTGTTTTGTAGTGCATCATTCTGCCCAAAGGGAGGCAGAGTCCACCACAAATACAGCCCTGAAACAGGATGTGACTCCAGCTGGGGCTTAATGGGTCTTCCTCTCCACAGGGATTTCTAGCAGTCAAAGCTGCTGCCACGTCACTGTGTAAAGCACAAACCTATTTTGTCAATTTTGTCATTAGCTGCAGGAGCTCTGTGCAGAATGTAAGAAATCAATAGCTTTTCAGACTTTGATAAAGCTTAAACTGTCTCTCCTTGATTTCTTTGATCCAAATACTGGACTAAAGACAATTATTTGTTTAACATTTGTTTGAGCTCCATTAATTTATCGCAAATGGAACAGGTGTCTGAACAATGAATGCACGGAGGAGGAGCAGCAAGCTGCCTTTGTGTTATACAACTCTTGAACTTGTAAAAGAGGAGAAACCTATTATTCAAGGACAATTACCTGGAACAAGACATGCCAAAGAACAAATGTATAACTAATCTTTTGAACAGACCAACAACATTAAATGTCAGTAGTTCAAATGTTTAGGGTTACATGTGATCCAACCAGGTCGGACAATGTCTGGATGCACCAGTGCAAACATCCAAGTTGCCTGAGTCTTCAGCGTAGGTAAATATTGCTTCTGTCTACTGACAACCTGGCTCACCATCTTTCTCTTTGGACTTGCTGGCATCAGAAGCCTGTGAGGCCGCAGACTGAGGTGGGCACATATCCTTGGACTTGGAGTCCCTCTTTCGTAAGGTTGCGGGTCCCGTTGGAGTCAGAGATGGTTTCTGGATTGGAGGCGGCTTCGTTGATGTGGGCTGGGGAGATGGGGGGCGTTGTTTCATTGCACCTGGTGAGGGTGGACGCATCTTAGGGCTTTGCCTGTTAGAAAGGATGTTCAGTGTATCAATTTGTGGTGAATAAAGAAAATTTAACTGTTGCTCGCTAATATTGAAGGAACTTAAGCGTTGTAAAAGCTTACTTGGCAGCTGCTGGGGATGGGGCCCTCTTTGGAGATGGATTGGGGGCTGGAGATGGTGAGCGGTTGCGTCCCAGATTAGAGGATGGGGAGGGGGGACGCCCCTGAGATGATAATGGCTTGTCCTTCTGTAATTTCATACAATGAGGACGGAGACAAAGAAGGATATCAAAATCCCACAGGAACACAAAGTCAATAATCAAAATGTTTTTTTTTTGTGTCAACTGCAAGTATCTGAAACAATTTTATATCCCCAGAAACTTTTATTTAATTTTCAGAGGGAGATAAAAAAAAAAGGGTACCAGCTGTTTGTGTTTTAGCAAAAAAATCAAAAAGGAAAAAATGTGAAACAAAACCTCATCTGAAGAAAAGCACCAAAAATATTGATATCTAACATTTAGTTCAAGAAAAGAAAGTAAAAGGGGCAGCCAAATCTGTCTGGCCCTTACAGTGGCACACAAACTCTACTATACTCTCTCAAATGAGATGTGCCAAGCTTAACGTGAATCTGCCGCATCAGACAGGATTTAATCCAAATGTCAATCTTATCAGTGACACACACATATAAACATATTTCAATAATCTCATATATGGACATGGAAGAGAGAAATAAGTGTCAGAGCAAGAAAAGTTGAAGGGTTTTGACATCAGGCGAAAGGTTCTGGGTGGGGTCTGCTTTGCATGGCCTGATCTCTCCATAATCAGGCCACTGTGGATCCCATTGTCACATGCTGCAACAACGAAGCCCTTCACAACCACAGAGAAGGATATAGACGGGCAGAATATGAAAGAAAGCCAGGCACTACAAGCCACGAGGAGATAACCCACAGACTTATGAGTGTCAGGAGGATAAAAGTGCTCCAGTGTCCGAACAGGTTAAGTGACAAGAAAATGCTCTAAGAGTAGCAGGCAGAAGACATTTCCCTGTGGTTAACATGCAACAGAAGTACTTTGACAGGCAAATTCAGTCAGATACATGCATATAAATCAGAGTCTATGGAGCCCTGTGTTTTTTTTTTCTGTGCAACATCATTTTCATAATGGAAAGCATGGACTTGTTGTTGTTAAGCAAATACTTTATACTAAACTTTATCCCAGTTTTCAAGCAACTTTTTTAAACAGTGAGTTAACTTAAATGTATCTTGAGCAGATATAAAACCATACTGTTGTATACGTGATTAAAAGGTGATCTAAAGTAAAGTAAAGTTTTTTTTTTTTTTTTCAAAACTCGATTTTTTCAATACATTAAGATTCTTTTCCATGAAAATGTGTTGCCTCTTAATTAGCACTCAAAGTTGTATAAACATATTTTTCTAAATAAGTTACACTTCAGTATGAATGATTTCATGATTGACGTGTGTAAACTGATACAAAAGTTTTAGATTTAACAAACAAATAAAATGACCAGGCATACACATAATAAGTAGCCGTTCAAATAGACGATATAATCATTCAAATTGACCACATTTGCTTCAGACATTAGCAACAAAAGCATCAAGAAGACTTCTCACCAGAGAAGGATCGAGAGCTCCGTCGGCCGACACAGATGTGGTCATGCCGCCCTTCTGCCGGTCAATGCTGCGACTGCGCAGGGGTCCACGCGGGGGGTGCAGGGGACTGGCTGAGGCTGAACGAGGACACAGGTGACACTCTGGTAAAGGACACAGTCATCGCAGGGCCAGGGGAGCACAACCAGCGGGAGGATTGAGAAGCGACCAAGTTGGGCAGCAAAGCAGCAGAGAGCAAAGGAGAGAAGAAGAAGGATGGGGGGGGGGGGGGGGAGGGGGGGGGGCAGATGTAGGATAGTGATTTTGTAAAGGAACAAGAGCACACAAAAAGCAATTTGTTAGATATAGCTCTTTACGCTGGCAGAAGCTTGATTTCTGAAGCTCCGTCTATGCTGGAGATGACTGGAAACGTGCGGAACAACAATCACACAAAAAGCCAAAAACACCCTGCACCAAAGCATCTGGACACAACACAAACGTGAACACCACAGCACACCGCACTGTACACAACACCTACCAAGAACTCCAACACTCAGAACACACATTACGTACATTTATGAGTACAATAAACAGCCAGTGTGTCGCTTCTTGTTTTCCATTAGGCACTATTAAAAGTAATGTGTGGCCTTGGAGTAAATTCTGTCCTTACAATGTTTGTGCTACATGTCAGTCAGATGTTTCTTGTAATTAAAGACACACAGTTTTAGCCTAATTCTGTTGACCATCTTATAAGGGTGATGCTGTGCTGCCATTTAACCGACAGAGTGGCAGGAAGCTATTGTGGGATGTGTCCTGAAAGAGGAAACGGTCTTGTCCTCCGACTTGCTATGTCAGATTGAGGGATTAGCTATCATAATCCTTAGACCTGGACACGTCTTCCTGCCACTGCGTGGTCACAAATGTGTTCTGTAACTCATTCTGACGCAGCGAGCAGCAGTGGTGACTGTGAAGCGTACACTGTCACGAGACACCGCTGCTGCAGCTAATGGGGATGAGTCATGCTTCTACTGCCACTACACTTAGCAAAGGATCTTTAGCTGCTAATGGGTTTGCAATAGCTGGTCGATAGATACCACAACCTAAAACCAATACTTAAAATAAAATTAAGCTTTAAGGTACAGAGCTGCTTCCCTACATTACATAAAACTATAACAACCATGAAAAGAAATTATCAGTGTGTATCAAGTCAGAGTGTAAACCTTTATCATGCGCAGCACATCTAATTATAAGAATTCTTATTTGTGTTATAGTATTTCAAGAAAATTAATTAAACAAAAATTCACAGAAAACACATTAAATAAAACATAAAATACCACAATGGTCACTCTCATACTGGTGTGATTGTATATAGTCAGCACCAGAGATATGTCAACTGGTTGTGAAGTCAGCAGAACTGTGGTGTCACAACCAGGGAAAAGCACAATGGTCTCATTCCGACGTAACAGGTACCAGTCAGTAAGCAGCTTACTGTAAATCCCCAGGCATTGACCATGAGGCTCCTCAGATGCAGCCCGCTGTGCTGCTCAGCTCAACAAACAGTCAATTGTGTCTCATCTGAGATTGTATGTGAGCTGGACTCATGTGTGTGTCAATATTTGCCAACGACACTCTCTCAGGAGTGTACTTTACAGCAAATAAACTGCACATACACGGACAGCAGCTTTGAAACACAGGGAGCTGCAAACACTTTTCTGTAACGCCACAATACATTTTTCCAACAGCATGACGGTCTACAGCATGGTAATGCGACGAATAGGAGTGACTGGGCTGACTTTCTAATAAATAAATGAAAGGTCAACGGGCTGGACCAGGCTCTAGCTATCCCTTCTGTCTACCAGGGTCTCCTAGGCGGAGGTTACCTGCGGCATCTGTTCCTTCAGCGGACAGGGCGGCGGCACTCTTGCTCCTAGCTAGTGACGCCTGGGTGGGCGTGAGCAGGCGACTAAGGACCCCTCCGTCCACAGTACTGGCCGGTGGCCTGCGAGCTACACGGCCCGAAAAATCACCGAAAAACAGCAGAGGACAAAAGGCCAAAAAGAAAAGAATGGACAAGAGTTGGGAATGAAGGCAAAGAAAAAGGTCACCATGTGATTCAACAGAGGAGAATTAACAAATAGAGCCAAAGGTTATGTCTCAGTAATCTTACATGGGTTCTTTATCAACAGCCTTTACACTCTTAGCTTTCAGTGGTATTCAATGAAAAATTTGAAAAAGGACACCATGGAAAAATACTGACACTAGTTGCCTGGTAACTGATGATCAGTTAGAACAGAAGTTGAAATAAACAATGAGGTCAAATGAATTGGGATCCTAGAGGAAGAAGGTGCGCTGATGAAAAAAATAGCATTGATCAATTCCAAAGAAAGCAGAGGAATACCGTTTTGTGACAGGTGAGAGACTTAAAATGAGGTTAGAGATTGTGACCGAGCAAGACTTTTGTTTCTGCTGTGTTAAGATGAAGAGGACTGAGTAATTACGGCCTCTGGAAAAAAAAGGCACTGATTAGGGAACTTTTAGTAATTATTTTAGAGCAGAAACAAAGAGCTGCTGCTTCTTAGAAATAGAAGAAGTGAAAGTTCCCCATTTAAGTTGCTGTGGCACCCTGAGCTACAACAGGGAATTTATACCAGAGGAGGAGTTTTTGTATTGACGGACTGAGTTTGCTACACGTCCTAAAACACATCTTATTAGACAGGACTGCACATTCTCGCTTCCTTTTGAACCACCCTCCCTCTCGCTGAGACGACATCTGTTGCTGACAGAGTTGATTTTTGTTAACTGTTGAGTGCCACCATGCAGCCTGGCTTATTGCTCTGCATCAAGCTAAGAAACAAGTTATTGGCTTTCCACAATGCCACAATTATGAGGAACATTATGTGGAAGCACTGGGGCTTAGTTAGCTCCCTAGCTGAAGACTCAAAGTAGTTGTTTAAAATGTGTAATATGAGCTATGTTACATAAGAGATACGTCTGTGCACAAAACACACACACTAATACAGGACAGGAACATTCTTTCAATCTCAATGTCACAAAAGAAATTATATGGCTGCTGGACAAACAAAAGCATTTGTGGTTAATAGCAAAAACACAATATCCATCAGCTGCTGTGGTCTTCTGTGCAGCCCGGTTGCTTTTGGAGGGATGGTACTGACAGACACCACACTGAAGCACGAGCAACCTAAATCCAGCTATGACATCATCTTGGGAAAAACAACAACAATCAACACTTTGAGACAACAGAACAATAAATTGAATTAGTGCCAACAGACCACACAACAAAAAACACTCATGGCCAACGTGTGAGAAGATGAGAAGAAAGTTCAAGCAAAATTAGTTGTCACAGTTAAGGACACAGGATAGGAACAGAGGCTGGTTAGGACAGCAGGAACATTCCGGGATAGATGGAATGATAACAGTGATGCCACTAAATCAGTTAAAGAGGGAAAAAATGCATCAGTGTGTGGTAAGAAATCTCTGATTGAAGGAGCATTTGACAGGATATAGGACATCTATGGCAAAAGGAGCCAAAGAATTTAACACAAACAAACCTTAAGCTCCATGACAATGAATGTATGTAAACAAATGTTCCCATAAAAAAAGCCCTTGGCAATATAGAACATTGTTATGGAATGATGAAACCATGAAGACTGCATGCTTGTTATTCAAAGAGGGAGGCCTGTGCAGTGCATGCTGATTGTTCATGCTAGCCACCTTGATCATCCGTTGTCCCTTTATCAGGCTTGGTAGGGGTCTGTGCTTTGCCCACACTTACTCGTGTGAGGGAAGAGCTTCTCTTCTTCACTGAACGGCCTAAGGACATGAGAGTGGAGTTATAGCCAAGCAGGAATGAGAGGGAAGTACCAAGGAAACCCCCGAGGACAAGAAGACAGTTTGCGAGTCATGTGTACTTCATTTAGTCTTATGCGAGTCACCTGGTTAGAGATGACAGAAACCGATGCTCCAGTTTAAGATATGCTGATGAAATACACACTTGGCAACCAGTTTATGATTTTCACTTTTAACCTTAACAGATGCCGGCATTTGTAGCCTGGATTGAGATTGTCAGAGCAGGGACAGAGCGGAATAGGTAATGCAGAGCTTTGATAAATGGTGTTCTGTGCATTATGTCTTATGAAAGCATAATATGAGAAGAAGATGGGGATCTTCAGCACCTGACTGTTCCACCTGAAGCTTTTTTCCATCTTCCTTATTGGCCTGAGCAGCATTGCCATTGCTTGGCAACCGGTTACAAGACGAACTCCTTGGCTTAACACCTGAGAGAAAATGATGAAACACCCAGGGTTGAGGTAACAGAAAAGTAACTTGTGGATGAAAAAAGTGTCATATTTTTATTTAGAATTATTGTATTATTAGAGAGAGAAGGCAGAGAAGTAAAAAAAGTCAGTGATGAAGAGGGAAAAACAGCCTGAGGAGAGAAAAAGTTAATGAGAAGTTGTTTTTTTTCTTGAAGGAAATGCAGTACCATTTTCTGAGTTTTGATACTAATCAGTAAAACTTTTATCAAAGCACCCCCATCAGAATATGAAAGAAGACACAGGTCAGAGATGCCCAGTGCTTTCAGTTGGCAGACAAAGTTGGACTATTCCATTTTATCGACTGCTAGTCACAAAGATCCTGTGCAGAAAAAAAATATCAATGTAAATATTTATTGACATAGACGGGCTGCGCTGTGGGGGCTCGGATGCAGTACTACACACAGGGTAAGTAGGAGGGCGCCAAGGGGAGCGGGAACACAGGAAGTAGGGAGGGAGGAAAGTAGACTTACGTTTGTCAGGTGATTTGATGAGGGTGGCAGAGGAGGAGGATAAGCGTTTGCTGATGCCAGCCTCGGGTGGCTGTTTCAGGTTTGTGGTGGATGTGGAGCGTTTCTCAACTAAGAGGGAGGAGGAAAGACAGACAAGGGAAGCAGGGTTTACTGGGAGCTAGCCAATGGGGAAGGATTTGGAAAGTGGACACAGGAGTACAAAGTTCTGACTGATTCCGAGTCTTCAAAGTGAAAAGGGAATTAGTGTTCCATTTTTTTCCATTACAAAAACATTTTACGAGTACAATGTAAAAATGAATTGTTTGCTGTTAGCGAAGTGCAAATGCTTATATTTAACTATCCCAAAGAGAAAAGCCTCAACAATGCTACTTTGTCCATGCCAAACACAATAGTAGTCCTTTGTTGACTGCCATTCAGAGGAGCTTCCATGCCAAGTCACCCATGTAACCTTAAAGTGCTTGACAGCAAAGCTGGGCAATAGTACCCTATGTCAGAGCCAAATTCTCACATCTCCACACAATTCAATGAGAGAAAAAAAAAAATAATAACTGTTAGACCTGACAAGTGTACAGGCTATTCTATATCAGTATTCATGACTAATTCTTTTTTTTCCAATGAAATATGATGCGATTTTGCTATGTCTGTCAATAATACCAATAGCTTAAAAACTATAAAAGATGCTTAAAGGAAGTTCCAGAAGAGCTAGTGTAAATCTTATCTGAATAAGTCTATTTATTTTGCCCAGCTCTACTCAAAAGTGCAAGAGAAAAGGCTAAAGCTACACCACCAGTCAAGCCCAATAAGCCAAAGACACTTTCAGAACAAATGTACAAAAATGTTAGTGAAGAAAATGCCACACAGAATGCAGGTGGAGGTGGGTGGGATGGGAAGAGGTGCTGGAGGGGATTGTGGGTAACGAAGTTAACTGTGCTGACAGTGCCAGTTCATGCTGTGCTCCCGTACCAATGAACAAATCATAAACAAACAAAACCTTGTCCACTCCTCGGTGGCTTTTCTGGTGAGGCAGGGGACACAACTATAGTTACTGGAGATGACACGCTGGCATCAGAATCTCCTGTGGGGAAAGACAGCTCTCAGGCTTTGTTAAGGAAAAGAGAGATGAACGTATAGCTTTGAGCCTTTGTCAACATCTACTGCCTAAAGCACTTCACAGAGAAAGCTGGAGTTTGCTGTAAAATCCAAGAAGAGCAGGGATGATTCCTCCTTTCTCTTGGTAACAAAGAAAAAATGCATTTTTATCTGGAGTGTCATGCACATGAACATTAATTTGACAGTATAACCACAGAAAGTTTAAGATTGCCGATTGTGATGGAAAAACATCTTTGTAAAACACAGCCGTGATGAAGAACAAAATGACTTGATCTGAAGAAGTGAGGAGTTTAAAGTGCAATTTGAATGGTTTAATCCCTGCGTTGTGGCTGGTGGATGGTGAGGATGAAAGTGAGCGGGAAAAGTAGAAAAAGGACATCTACCTGCTCGCCCATCTTGGTCAATGATAAGTCCTCCCCAGGACCATCTTTTGTGCCTCTGCTCCACTCGCTGACTACGCTCCAATGTCCTCCTCATCACTGCCTCATAGTGCTCCTGTTGTGCAAATAAGAGAAAAGGGAAGAATAAATACAAGTCACTACCCACAGAAAAAAATTTTGCCTCTAAAAGAAAAGCAGAAGGAACCAGATAAGGTTTGTGCTCAGCTCTCACATCTGTGCTCACAAGTACATACACTGCTATGTTATTTTTTAGAAATCTTTAAACCTTTTCCTCCTCCTGCTTCTGTTTCCTTTTCTCCTCCACAGCCAGTCGTTTCTGCTCCTCCTTCCTTCGCTGTTCCTCAACCTTTTTGTGACGCTCCTCCATCTGGCGCTCAACCGCAAGCTTGGCCTTCCGCTCCCGCTCCATGATCTGAGACTCCTTTAAGGCTGAATTTTTGAGGAAAAGTCTTATTATCAAAAGCACAACAGTGACTTGTTAACTTTGTGAGAAATTCAGAATGATTTCAGTTTGTCAAAAACATGTTTAAAATTAATATTAGAAGTGTTAAACAAAAAACAAACAAACAAAAAAACAGCTTCTACTATCCGATTAAAGAATATTCAATAATCAAAAACTGCGAAACAACTTTCTATCATTGCATCAGTAAATGAATGTACTTGGTATGGCTTTTTTAATTTAATGTCAGAACTATAACTAATGTGTTACCCTGTTGTCTCTCTGCTTCTTCTCGTCTCTCTTTTGCCACTCGCAGTCGGTCGTCTACTCTAAGCGAGGCACCGTCAATGACTGCAAGTGTACATGTGGGCATATGGTTAAAAAACGTTAAACATATTCAGCAACAAAAGAGCTTTGTAGTTCAATGCTCCAAACACTTTGTATAAGGCGGGCAGATGTCTGCATGTGACTGTTAATAATGAGCTTTGTCAATTGTTACGATGAAACGATGATGACTAAGGTTAACCTGCTGTAAGCCACACTGAGAGGATGGTGGAAGTGGGTTGTGTTGTATCTGTTAAAGTCAAACGTTATTGTTCTTTTCTGTGTCACAGAGTATTATCGGTTACCTGGCTTACACCCCTGAGGTTTGGCTGGTGCGTTGGATGTAGGTCCAGGACTGTTCCCTGCCAAGCTCCGCCGCTCCTCGGCTTGTGCCTGTGCAGCTGCAGCTGTATGGAGGGAAACAAACAGAGGTTTATTTGCTGCGAACGACAAGTCGCACACTCTGGGTCATACGCACAGCTGCGCCAAGCGACCAATGAGTTTGACTAATTCACTTGATTGGATCGATTGTCTTGTCCCAAACCACAATGAACGAGGAAGGGAATCCAGTTATTGACAAGTATGTTTAATACAAAATCGAGTTGACAGTTATAACAGACTGATTTTAAATCACATTCAGGCACCTTTATAGTGAGGCTTGATTTGAAACTAACTTCACATTCAATTGCCTTTTTTAGGCACAGTTCAAGTCCACATGTCTGACTATTAAGATTTATCAAATGATGCCGAGACAACAGCCATTTTGGAAACAGCCACTGGCTCCTCTGCTTCATGGTCAAACCTGAAGTCAAGGATGGGCTGTCTTAGACAGATTGGATGCCGTTAGAGAGACTTCTGAAATTACACTCCTCTGAGTTTCTCAGGATACAGCTAACAATTCAATCAATATTTTGACAACTGATCCTGCACAGGTCACGAAGCACTCACTTATTTCTGGTAAAATACTGAAAAGCTTTAAAAAAAAGGCAGATGTAAAGATTGCTTCCAAGTTAATATAGGATTTAAACCAACTCCTCAACCCACATCAGGATAACTTAGACGCAGAAATCCTGAATGGGAAAGAAAAAGGTCAACAGGAAGGACATGGCCAGGACATGATTAAGCTCTAAGAGCAACAGTATCTGTCATCCGTTTCTTTCTTCTCATTGCTGTGTTCAGCATAGAAGAACTGCTGACAAAGAGCAACATGATCATCAATCCTGTGATACTCACATTGACTGATAATTCTATACATGCCCTGAATGTTTCTCACTGCATTAGTCCAATAAAATACTACAAAGAATGCATTGCAGTTTCAGAAGCAATTCAATCAAGCACATGCAAATATGCTTTATTTCTAAAAAACACATACAAGAAGTTTTAGTCAAGTTATGACACATTAACTAACATGTAATACTTTAAAAAATGCATGGAACCAGTAAGACTTCAGAAGAGTGTGTTCCTCAAAGCAGAAAACTACGCAAAGACAGAAGTAGGCGGATGACAGTTCACTGTAATATACTGCAATCATGATCAATTATACTGCAATTATGATCGCACAACGCAACATGGAAAATCTCAATTGCTTGTCCAAATTTAATGAGGAAACCAAACCAAGAAATTCAAATATGCTTTACACACAAGAAACTTATTCAAGAAACTAATCAAGATTTGAAGGACTATTAGTTTAAAATACGCCTCTGGGCTCAGATGCGTTTCTATCTGTGAGAGCACATCTGCAGCAGATGTTCATATTCAACATTTAAGTCTTTGACAGATCTTGTGGCACTGTATGCTCAGTTATAAAAATGTGCATCTCACAAAACAATGGAGTGCAGCCATGATGTGTTTTTTGGTTTTGCGGAACTTAAATTAATACATTCATCCATTTAAATCCAGCTTTTCGCATTGTGCTGCCTTGAAACAAACTTCATTCCAAGCTGCTTCAAAGATACAGCCCAAAATTAAGATCATCTGTCAACGTCAAACAAGAGCTGTGCTGCTGAAAAACTAAGCCGCTGTTGTGGAAATATGTGCTAAGCTAAACACGTACCGTTCAAGCTCTTTTCAGAACAATGGAAACGATGCTGCGTAGTTGGAAAGTGCTTTAGTTCCACAATTAATGTTTCTTCATTACCACAACATTATTTTAATTACATCTGAAGACTTTCTATGAGGGACCATCAAAATGTGCTTCATCCATCTATCGTTTATACTGCTTATTTCTAGTAGGGTCGCAGGGGGCTAGAGCTCATCTCAGATGACGTTGGATGAGAGGCAAGGACACCCTGGACTGTTTGCTATTTCATAACAGGGCCACACAGACACTGACAACCACTCAGTCCTACGGGCAATTTAGAGTCTTCAATTAAAGCAACATGAATGAAAGCAGCTATCAGATGAGAACTTGTGGTGGGCAGTATGTCTTTAAAAAGGGAGACAAGTGGAAAACAAAGGCAGCAAAAAGAGAAGTCAAAGCACTTAAACTGCAGCATGTCAACAGTATTTCAGTTACTGATTCATGCATTGTTAACTGAAGAGCCATGGAAGTCTGAGACAACTCTTAAAGAAGGTTGAAGTGTGAAAAATGGCACAAGAATTGGACTACAAACAAGTGAAAACAGGTCTGATTGAGGGATGAATCTTTCAGAGTGAAGATGTAGGTAAAAATGAAAGATTCAACCAAAAGCGCAGATCAATGAAACAGCCAAGATCCTTCAGATCCAGATACACGTGAAGTCAACAATGGCTCCAGTGTTCTCCCTTTGACCATCAAACAAATAAATGTTATTTCTATTTGCCAAAAAGATAATATTCAAATATTTCTGTATAAATAAAGAAACCGAATGGTCAAAACAGAACACAAAATGAAATTCATCAATAAGTAACTCCTTTTACTGTGTTGTTTTAGGGCAAACAAATCGTGCGGTGCATCATAGGCACGATCAGAGTTTCTCAGGCTACGCAGCAGAACGCCACGCCTGGATTTTCCTATGGAAATCAGCCTTCTGTGACGATGTACTCACTGGAAAGCACAAAGGACAGCTGGCCGATCCTACATGAAAAAAGGACCAAATTAAATGGTAAAGTTGAAAAGTATTTTAGCAAGCTGTCACAGACCAGAGCCACTTAATTCCGGTACTGAATACCAAAGCTTTAGAACAAGACTGAGTTATCTCAGTTTAATCAAATGATTCCAGCCATGTCAACAAACATAAACCTTAATGAAAGTCATGATCTGGAAATAAGATTTTCAACTCTGGGGGTTGAAGTTTTCATGGGATGCATCTTGCATATCTTACTCGTGCAGTATTTTAAAGGAAGTCAATTAAAAAAACACAAAGAAGGAAAGAAAAAAAAATCAACAAAAGTGAAACATACAGTAGCCTGAACAAATGGTTGCTCACGTTGTTGCCTTCCTCTTATTTACATGAGTCACATTTATGAAAACTGCAGGTAAAATAACTGGGCATCACTTTGAATAAACGCCTCTGCATACAAGCACATACTGGAAAAGGGCGTGAAAAAAAACTCATAGGAAACAGGGAATTGGTCATGCCAAAGCTCAACCATGAGACTTAGCGTGAGTCTTAATCTACTTTGCATTTTATCTGACTTGAACAGGCAACTTCTCCCACTAGAGATACCAATCTGCAAAAACTACTATTTCAAAGAGAAATTGATAAAAGTCAGTATAATGACAGTCGGTGCACTGAATTATAAGCATCATGTGAAATGACATACTTCATGATGTACTTACAATCAAGAAAAGTGCAACCTCAATCAGATGTGTTACATAAATTTAGCTTCAATGTTACAGAAAAAGGATGCCATCTAAGGAAGCCTGATATGGCGTGCCATTGAGCCAACTGTCTGACAATTCCTTTGTATAAATGATATGAGTAGGATTTACTGTCGAGCTCTTATTCAGAAATAGGTGAAGGTTAATATTTGCATATACAAAAATCCTCTCAAAATAGTTTGAAACTCTCATGTGCAACATGATAATGTTGCAATGACCTCCAAAAAGGCTAAAATGATTTTTATCCAACGGGTCGATCAGTTTCTTTCGTCAAACAATATTTAGGGATTCACACTAAATATAATCAGAGTGCTGTTAGCATGTATTTTGGGAATCTGGTGAAGCTGCTATAGACAACACATTCTCCATCACCCAGGGGAACAGACAGGAAAAAACTGCTGAGAGACTGAGAGGCCGCAAAACTGTTGCTAAGTGATAAACTGAGAAGCTGGGGATGGATGAGGAGCTTTATCACCACAATTAGACATGTATCCAGGTCGATATGGACTTAGAAATTAGATGATTCATAGGTTGAAAAAACAAAACAAAACACAGCACAAAGGGTATTGAGGTTAATTAATAAGAAAGTGTCCACTAACAAGCTTGAAAGCTAACATCACTTCACATTAGGGTTTGAAAGGAAAAAATACTAATTATCAAAGAAAAAAAGAATATTAAATGAGATACTCATTTTCAAAGATCTACATTATATGTACGCTATATTTGATAGCAAAAGCAAAATAATACAGAAAAAGGTTTTTAAAAAAGAATCTCAATAGTTTGACTAGTTCTAATATGACATACTTCAGAACTGAGGATAACTCATGATAGCAAACTCCGTTCTCTGATTTCCAAGGGGAAGTAAAAAGCTCACAGGAAGGGAGTCAGTACGGTGCTCATTTAAACAATGCAGACTATTTATGAATAACATCTCCAGCAGTGAAGTCTAAGTTAGTATAGCTTTTTGTAACAAACACTAATGTTGTTAAGATATTACTCAACTACAAGGAGGAAGAAGCTAAAAAAAAAAAAGGAACCATAATGGACAAGAAAGTCAGAAAAAAACCCAATACAATAATAAATAAGGCTAAATTCCTCTCTCATATACATGTTCATGTGTTGTTAGGAGTTTTTTTCTTCTTTTTTTAAGAAAAAGACTAGCATTTAATGACAGGGAGACACTGTTTTCTAAACTGCACTTAAGAGCTCCAGGTGTGATGACAGAAATGAAAAGGGCCTATGAGAGGAGCTCGGCCTCGTTGCTCCATCACTATGGAGATTTGCACACATTAACATACATCACTGCTGCTGCATTGACAAACTCCAGTACATCTTAAGCACATAATTAACCTGGCTGCCAACTGTATGTCACAGCAATCCACAGAAATATCTGCTCCAGTCTGCAGAGATAACGTGCCGGTTCTAAACCATTTTAACATGCTCATGTAGTCGGTGATCCAGTGTGTTTAGATTCAGTCAAGAGATTGTCGTACAACATTGGAAAAACAACTTCGTGAGTGGGTCACAATTTCTAATCGAATAATCATGGCAGGAGTAACGACAACCAGAGGGCTAATGGTGACCAGGCTGCTAAGCTCCGCTGCTCAGACTAAACACCAAACAGGAAATGAGGCCGTCTGTGTGACATCAGAACAGCGGGGTCAAACCGGAGTAACATCAGTTGTATTTAAACAGCTTCGGCTGTTGGACGCATTGTGGATATGAGAGAGAAGTGAGAGAAGGCCAGGTTTGTTTTCTATTGTTTCTTCCAGCTGTAGCCTGCTGAGGCGTGCAGCGCGTTTCTGCTCGGCAGCTTGTTACACAGGAAGTGTCTGCACCTTTAAGCTGAGGGCCGGCCCGCCATTTGGCACGGGATACTGCCAGGACTCAGAATCCTCATCATCAGAGAGCGACTGCACCGACTGAAGTTGAACAACTAATTGGTTCCTTTTAAATGTACAAATCTATGTAAAATAAGTTAAAAAAAGTCTGAGAGTTGCAATTCCATACTGATAATCAACTCTCTGTAAAGTTCCACCAGAAGACCTCTGGTCAGATAACACTGCTCACACACACAGACGCTGCACTCACACACTAAATCTTCCATGGGATTATCGAGGCCTATTCATGAACAGGTAAGCCTCGGCTATTTGCAGTACTGGCGGGATAATGATGACACATCTAAGATTGCCTAGGTGTCGTTTCCTCCCAAAGTTGCAAGATTGTGCATCACCACAACGGAATCCTTTTTCATGATTGTTCTTTAGAATAAATCCAATCTTGATCAACTCTTCTTTGTATTCCTTTATGATAGTCAATTTTGTTTAAATAGAATCTGTATTGGTTCAAGATAGAAGCAGAAATGAATCAACCATCAGGGGTCTATGTCAACTTTAATGTTTAGTGTATCGGGTCTGTTGGAGAAAACCTTCAATTCAAAATAAAAAATGTAAAAAGTTACTTCTGCAAATGTTTACGTGCAGCCGAGTGCATAGGTGTGCACTGCAAAGGTTCAAATCAAAACCAGATCAAGTCAGTGGTGCCAGAGCAGAGAAAAAACGACTACAAGCTAGGTTCTTTTTGTGATTTGGTCAAATTCTACCAGTTCTCGCATATTTGTCATGCTTTTAATTCTGCTGAAGCGTCTTCTGAGCCAGGATCTGGTTAATCTTTGACATGTAGTCGTGTGATCACCCTTCATAATAGCAGGGTACGATTTCTCCCTCCTCACATTCTTGTGGAAATGACCATGCACATGAGCTAGATTCCTGACATTACTTTGTTACTGTCAGTCTTCCAGTCTCACTGAAGGTCAAACTGAAATTTTCTTGGGCATCGTTTAACTCCACACAAAGCCAGGATTCCGACGCACAACTTTAAACTGGATATTTTCATGAAACCACAAAAGTGGGTGGACGTCAAAATTCCTGATGGAAAATACTGAATGGAAAAGTGAACAGAAACAGGAAGATCGGCACTAAATATGGTCCAGTTGTTGCCGGGAGTAAAACATGCCTACACCCAAACTGGGTATGCAGAGAACTCTCTCTCTCTCTCTCTCCCTAAAATGCTAAAACACAGCCTGACTGCTACTCCAGACATAACAAGCCATGCATTCATGCCCACAGATGCAAGCACAGCACACACTGATGTCTGGATGGGGGCAGTTCAGACATGGATGAAAGCACTGATAGAGACTTTGCAGCTTCAGTTGGCCTACATAGTACTGTGTACAATACAACAGCGTAGCTGTAGCTTAGCAAAAGAAGTATCTGACTTATGACTACTGGACCAATAAATTGAATTATTTCAAAAACCTGTTAATGCGTAAATGTTTGAATAAAAAAAGCAGCAATGCTGTGAAACTCTCCAATCCGAGCTCAAAGCTGGGTTTGACACAAACTGACATTCCAGATTTATCTGAAATTCAGGTCAGTCATTGTTATAGAGTTATCCTCACAGACTAGTGGAGGGGGGTGATGCCATATGTCAACAGACAGGCAAAAACTAACGAGCGATGGATATAGGACGGAGGACGTCGTTTCACAAAAAAAGACGTTTCAAGCAGGAAGCTGCCAAACTGATGTCCGATAAAACGGCTCGTTAGTGACTGAAGAAAACAAGTTATCTTTGGGGTTCATTCTCCAAGCAGCAGCTCAGAGAGCAGTCAGATTGAACGGAAAAGACAGCCCTAGAAAATCTCCACCGTTTCCCCGCCTGATAAAGGCAGATATTGATCACTTTTGACAGAAATCCACGCATGAAACAGCGGGGCGTTGAAATTACGAAGCGGTTAGCTAGCTCCGCGTTCAAGTCTGATAATCCCGTAAAGCCTCACAAAACAACACGGCCAAGCTTTCGTTGCAAATGCGAACGAAACGTGGGAAAGTTAAAACTAAAGCAGATATGTTCGTGCTTGGCTGCACACACGCCTGAAGTTTAGACATGTCAAACCGGCACCGAAGTCCAACCAGCAGAAAGTAACTTTAGCAAACGTTAATCACCGGCGCTTTACTCGCAGTCAGTTACTCCATGACACCCGGCGTTCCTCTGGAAACTTCGATTCAACAGCAACAAGGGGTTGCCTTACTCACTTTTGAGTGGAGAAGTTGCAGATTTGAGCGCGTCCATTGAAAGCAGATGACCGGGACAGTGAGCTAGCGTTACTAGCCTAATAAGCTTGCTGCGTCGCAACGCTTTCAAAAAGCCCAATTAACCCGCGACGGCTGCTGGAAAACATTCAAAAGTGACTTTCGCGTTAAGACACGTCTCTGTCTAAATTAAAAAAACACACACACGGTAGTGGTAATATTTTTCTTACCCATCTGGGCTCGCAAGCCCTTGAGTGTCGTTGCACCCTCCGCCATTTCTGAAGTTTTCCTTCTCCGTGTTTTTTTTCTACTACAGGGGTGCGCGGCTCAGGGCTGCCGGTAGGACTCGGACACCACGGGGACGTGGACATAAAAGATTTTGTAAATATTAACGATGTCTCACTCCCAACCATTTTGGGGAAACCACAAAACTCGCCTCAATAAAGCAGTTTCGGTCCAACAGTGTAAAAAGAGATACCTTTCTATGTTTGTCAGAACGCCACCTATTCAACATGCATTCAATTTTGCTTCTCAAACAATTTCATGACGTCAAAACACATAATTAGCGCATTTTCAGAGTGGAATTAGCTAAAGATATTTTTCACGGCAAAAAGTTTGCATTCGTTATTTAATTTAGATGAAAATACCTCAGTGAGAAGCAGCAGTATTCCCACAACTTTCTGTTATTTCTTGAACGTTCTTTAATTTCTTAATATTGTGCAACATTTACATGTGAGTATTGACACATCATACTTATAGACGATTGCTGTATTTGAGAGGGAGGAAAGAAAAATGCCAGCGACATTTGCAAATATAGTCAACAGCGCCCCCTGGCGTTCATTACGATGATTGCTCCATGCAATAAAATTAAAAAGTAATCCCCAAAACATGCTGGCAACACACTCAGCAAAGTTTAAAAAGCATTCAATAAAACAGCGGTCAGAGTATGATAAAACCAGAATATATAAATGCGCTATTGAAAAACTCTCCAGCAGGTTTCTGAAATTGGTAGACTTTATGGAGAAAGAGGAATAAAAACGTCAAAATCAAATGAAACGTTTGAATATTGCTCATGAGATATGGACTTAAAGCATTAAAGAAAGATTTTGCATCCTTACCAGAGTTAACGAGCCAAAGGATCTGCAGATCCAGAGATGGTTGGTTGTCAAATGTCTCCCAGTTAGTGGATAATAAAATTCTCTCTGAGCTCAAGGTTCTTTCTCTTGCCATGAACACTGCATCCTCTGTCCTGGTTAATCTCACATGCTTTAGCCAGAGGGCCACTCATCCATTTTAAATGGTAAACAGGAAATAAAATCACATGTTGGGGTCATTTGGATATGATATTATTTAATCCTCAAAGCCTACTTGGCTACTTATTTCTGTAATTGAGACATTATATGAGTTACCAAAAATAATCATTTAATGTACATGAACCTTAGTTGTCACACACTTATGGAAAAGTCGTTGCTCTGGTTTTGCTCTGTCTCCTAAATTTCAGCTGAATGTAATTTTTCACATTTAATTCTCAATCTATTTTGTGTCCTAAAGAACAGGTTGTCTCTGTTCTGGTAGGTTTATTGGGATCCGGTGACAGTGTTTTGATTCAAAGTAGGTCAAAAATTAGGTACAAAAGTTCAGGCCATGGGAACATATCCGTAGGCTCTGGGTGATCACTTGTTAACCACTGCGCTGTGTATTCTTGAGACAACTTCAGAATTTGGCAAAAGCGCAGCAGCTTGGGCGAGCTGGGGCAGATGTGTGTAGGTGGACGTGTGCAGATACTCAAAAAGGTCCCGAAAGCTGTGGAGATGAGCGATGACTTGAGGTGAGACACCCAAAGACAATCCCAGTCTCTTTAAAAGGTGGATGTTGTCAGCCGAGTCGAGCAACAGGGACAAATCCTGGATAGAGTCATAGTCGAGCGTCTCAATGCTTTGACCTGGATAGATTCAATACAGCAAGAATACAATATGCACTTTAAAAAAAAAAGCCTGAGGACCGGACTCACCTGAATAGCTGGTATCTTATTGTGTAAATGCTGGTGGAAAACCCCATACATACCTTGAGCAATCTCCCATATTGTCTTCAGTTTTTGCTCCATCTGGTATTTACAACAACAAAAAGTCACAATTAGATTTAAATGCTACTGAACATAGTGACCAAATATAACATATTTTACTGTTACAGTTTCGTGAAAAAATAGAAAGAAAAAAATGGTTAAAGTTTGTGGAACACAAATATGTACGTCTGACATCGTTTATGATCTATGATATCTATGCGGTAAAGTCTATATTTTGTTTTATTCACTTTATTTAGTTCAAAATCATTTACATTGGACTGCCTTAAAAGTTACAAAAATGATGTCCTGAAAAAGCAAAAATGTACATGTTTTTGTTATGTAATTCAATTATTCTAAGCCTGAAGGTCTGGACTGAAAGGATGGCTCACAGGATAGTCTGGTGCTGGATGGTTGTGGATAAGCATAAAAACAACAGTGACCATGCGTGCAAGCATAAGATTAGGGGGAGGTGCTGTGGTGACCAGTAACCAGATTATTCTGGGGGGTAGTGACTCGAAAATGTATGAAATCAACTATCTAAAATTAAAATAAATTATACATTAAATTGACCATTTTGAAACAACATGTTGGCTATATGGTAAATTATTACATGCATTATCTTAAAGGTTGAAGTTTGAACCCAAATTACTTACAGAACACATAGAAAAAAAAATAGGCCTCCATGAATACTCTTTGTATTGTAAATGATTACTTTCTGAGAACATGATACCTCCTCTGTGGAGAAGCTTTGTGCTCCTTCCTGCATGATCCTTTCCTGATTCTGGCTGCAGGGCTTGATGTTGGTGGTGACATTAATCACAATGGAAGTAGGATGCAACTCGCCCTCATGGCTCAGTGAGTTTAAGCCTCTGGGAAGGGAGGTAGTAACCAGTGTAAATAATTCAGATGAATGGAGAGCACGGAGGTAACTGTAGAGATGCTATTTGCAGCGGTATTCACAGTGTTCACCTTGTTGGCTCTTCGGCTGACACAGTCTCAGAGGGGACGTCTTGTTGAGTTGCAGCTCTCCTTGTGTGGCTGGACAGAGGTTTATGCTGAAGCTTTGCTGTGGACAGTAGTCCCTCAGGTTCCGGACAGTGACCGGAAGCCCGCTCTGAGCATTGGAACATGTGTTTACGGTCCCATTACAGGCAATCAAAAAAACAAATACGATGATCTTGAAAGCTGAAATATTAAATATCATCTCACTAAATCTCTCAGCAGTCAGAAGGAAAACCCAAAGCAGCAGAGCAATGAGGAACATCAACGAAGCGATGGCAGCGCCAATCAGAACCACGGATAACGTTTCTCCTTTTACTCCTTGAAAAAAGAAGAATGTTATTAAGTTTTATTAAGTTTAAAAAAGAAGTGGAAGAGTGTATTAACAAAGCCACTCACTCTGATCCCCAGATTCTTTGACCTTTTCCACAGGGGGTGTTAAGGCGCTTTCTGTCAGACAACGGTTCAAACTTGTCAACAGCTACAGTAAATCACCAATAAAAATAAACATTCAGAGACTTGTATCATTGTGGTACATACAGTCCATGGTTTTTAGCTTAAAACGTACGTGTTTTGGAGCCCTGAGACGTGAAAGGCAGACACTCTTCACGGGCCCTATCATGACCGGAACAAGGGACACAGAGCAGCTCCACCTCCCCAGTCATGCTCCTCAGTTCATAATATCTGCACACACACACGCACACACACACACACTTACGTTCAGCCTGAGCCGGACACAGCAGTCATTTCTGGTACTTATGTCTGAACTGTGGATGTAATTCACCCGGGGAGACACGGTCCACACTGAGAGTCAGCGGTGGGCGAGCAGGCGGCGGTCAGCAGGCGGTTCAGGAGAGCACACCGGGTGCACCGTCTGCAGGGAGACACCCCCGTATCCGGGCTGAACGCCCCTCCCTCACACCGCAGGCAGACTCCGTCCCCGCCATCTCCAAAACCACAGTCCTGAGGATAACAACAAAAAACAGAGACTTAGATTTAACCAGGGAGATGTTGAATCATAAAGCTTTCTTAATCAACTTAGCAATCACAGTTCTTTATCATTAGAGCATTAATACAACATTACAGTACAGAAATTAGGTGACACAGACCTTTCCTTTCCTTGTTGCATAAAACTGAGAGTAGCTTCTCAACGTTCAGTTCTTACTCAGGGAACAGATAGCAAACCCGTTCCCAACTTTTAAATTTGGATGGCACATAAAACATCTGACACATTCTGTGGGCAAATATTTGGCCATTCTAGCAGCAATATTTTTTCAGTTTAATTATATTATTACAGTAATCAAATATGACGAAGATAAACACACACGCGCTTTTTAAAGTCAGTGAGGTGACACTATGAGTTACTTAGATGACTGAACTCATAAGGTTCAAGGTTCAAAGTTCATCTGAAGTTAACACAGATTTTTCCCTGTTTTCTTTGCGTCCTTGTTTTTGTAAGGATTGTAATCTCTGGTTGATGTGGTAGCACGTTTTTGTATTTATATTGTAAAACCAGTGGCAGCTTCTAAATACTGAATAAAGGAGGTAGCAGGATTGAATAGCCCGTGTCATATTTGTTTGCTCAGGGGTGTGATAGCGGCGTGTTTGTTACCTCGGACAGCTCTTCCCCAGGGCCGCACACAGGGCACGCCACACAGGAGCCATTAGGATGTAGGAACTCTGTCTGATGACAGATTGGCTCAGAATGCACCTGCAAACCGTAAATCTGCAGAGATAGAAAAGATGAAAAGGAGAATGTCTCAGTTTTCATACACGGAAAGTCAAAAGTCAAGTAAGCAAAAACAATAAGAACGATGATTTCCTGAGGTCAAATATAAGACTACTCCACATTTTTCAAGAAAAATGAGTGTGGTTGATGGGATTTGTGTTACTATACTGTTACAGTGCTTGCAGCTTTTATCAGCCTCGTTTTTAGTAAAGAAACTGGTACCTAATAAAAATTTACATATCTGCTGTGTAGAACTAAATGAATCCCTCACTTAGCAGACTAAATGATGCTGTGAAGTATATAAGATGTATTTTTTTACCTTTGGAATCAAGCAGATCAGAATCATTAGGCTATTTGAAAAAGATTATGCTTGTGATTAGCTTTACTTCATTTCTTTTTTATCACATACTATCTGGAAACATGTGAATGAGAAAGAATGTCTTTCAGACTTACCATTACAAGAACAGCAAAGACACAAGCTTCCATTAGCAAAATATCCAGAATCGCTCTGTACAGTCACCCTTTTTGTGGATAAACCTTCAAAATATGAAACATGAATAACACACAAAAAATCCAGCCCACAAACAACTAAAAACAGTTAATTACAAGAAAACAATGCCAAAAACAGACTGTCAAAACTTACTTGGTGGCTTTCAAAACAGCTGTAAAGTCTGTCTGTTTACCAGCATATCTCTCACACACCAATGGTTAATTAAAGATTCTTTTTAACTTGTAATGTTGTTTCCTTCTCTTCTCATGTGGGCTCCTACCTCAGCCCTGAGAGGCAGCATTGGGAACCCCCATCATTCTACATCACTTCTGACGCAGGAGGGCCTCCCAAAGCAGCTATTGGTCTTCAATCAGTCAATACAATTCTCCACCTGGGCACCTCACGTCACACCTTATCATCTCACATTCCCTCTGGGGAACCCACTGGATTTAGTCTTGACCACTGAGGACACGGAGAGACTAAAAATAGATGAATGAAACCCTTGTTAACAAGCTGGCGTGCAACAAAGACACTTTGTCTGTGTGAGTGGGCTGGCAGAGTTCACACACTAAACCTGTCTTAAAGTTGTAGTTCACTGTTTCAGCTCATGGTGGTAGCATTGAAACAAAACAAAAAAATACAAGAAACTCCAAGTTCATTTACCAACTCAACAGGATGTAATATAGGTATAGGAGGAGACTCTGTTAAGGTATATTGACTGTTTGGCTTGTTGAGCCTTTTATATGGACTTGTCTTAGTCTCAGATCTTTACAACTGGGAGTCACTGTATGTCAACTGGAAAAGCCAATTATATTGTGTTTGCGAAGCAATCGCTTAAGGATCAGTTGCAAAACAGAAGAACATTGCTTTGTCTCTCTACCACACAAATATGCACTCAGTTACACATTCAAGCTGCGACTATGTTCCCACTTCAGAAATGATCTGTTCATTGAAAACACTGCAAATGCTGGAAATACATGACACATGATGGCCTCTGCTTAGATAAGAGGAAAACTTATCCATGACAACACAATACTTGTTCACAAATACATCCATCCACAGGGAGAAGTAGTTTGAAAAAGAACATCGCACTGAAGCAAATCACATGGGTATGTTGTTGTCTTCAATATCTAAAAAAAAAGAAGTCTGTGTGACAGTTGAAGTACTTCCGAGCAGCATTTGAACCGCAATTGTTTTGATTATTACCTATTCATGAGCTCACATTGAGCACCTACTTTAAAAAAAGTGTTACGTCTAAAAATTGAATGTGAAGTGAGTTATGCTTTTTTTCTACTTGAAGTGTTTCATAAAGTCATAACTTTAACACGGTCGTGTTTGTTAAGTGTGTTTATTACCTGTGATTAATAAGTAACTCTGAAACCAAACGGAGAGGGTGTGGACATCTTCTTATAGAGCAGTAAATTGCCATTCCTCTTATGCTCCAGCCCGATTCACATGAAGCGACTGCTTCACTGACCGCTTCCTTTTTTTTTTTACTAATCACAATATCGACTCATTTTTAGTGGAATACCTTGGTAAGTTTGAGGTTGACACCTTATTTTCTCCCGCAATCCTGAACCAGCCACTACTGTGCTATACTCTGATTGTCATTTCAAAACTATTTGTCTACTTTCAGCTGAGAGCCACTTTACTGTGACAGAGAGAGGTTTGATTTTGCATTTGCAGTCATGAACTCAACGAGAAGAGTGCCTCTTCTGGCAGTCTGTTTGTTTATATCTATGTCTTTGTGTCCTTTGTTTTCAGGTAAGAGCAAACGATCTCATAACACAATAGTGCATGGTTTGGGTTTCAAACTTCAGGTATATTTTTCATTTTTATGTTTTTCTACCCTTCGTATCATTTCAGCAGCTTCTGCCGGTACGAGCCTTTGGGGTAAGAAGTTAGAGTTTAACGACCCTTCGTGCATGTGGCAGCTGAAGCCCGAGGTTGTGGTACCAGCCCTGAAGGAACTGACCACATGTGTGCTTTTAAGGCACACCTCCAGTGCCAAATGGACTGGGTTTGTCTACAAAGCCCCCCATGACAGGCAGATACACCTTGGAATTGGAGGCTCAGCTTTGCAGCAGGATGTATGGCTGTTTGGGGAAAAAAAGCATTTTAAAAATGAACTACAAAAGAATAAATGGTACTCCATTTGCCTAACCTGGTCTGGCCAAGCTCAGCGGCTGAGGATATTCCTAAATGGAGCTAGGATTTTTGAGGATCATCTGAACCCTTCAGTACCCAAAGAATTGACCCCGAATGGCACCCTCACTTTGGGGGTGTCTCATTTTGTTCACACCAATGGTGAGGTGATACCAGAGAGCGGCAATAACCTGCGTGGGTCTATTGGCCTGTTCAGAATGTGGGGCAGAGAGTTGTGTGATGAGGAGCTGAAGGGGCCAAGCTGTGCAGAAGGCGATGTTATGAGATGGGATGAGCGGCATTGGAAGTCTGACTGCCCTCCTGAGCCTGACAGCAGCCTGCACTGTGGTAAGTATGTACTATCTGTACATGTATCAGAGATATCCAGTTTACTCTTTGGGCTTCCTCACTTCTAAGACTGTTACCTGCTCAAGATCCATGTGAACTTTAGGGATCCTGGAGCAGTTCAAAATCACCTCGACCATTTTTTTTATTTTGAGGAACATTAGTGACATAATGCACGCAACAAAAGAAGAACACAACTGGTTAGTTCCCTTGTCATTTAGGGAACATACGGCAGTTTTGATTTTCTGAATAAAGGGGTCTGTTGTGTTTTTGTGTAAAGGCTTGAAACATTGTGAAAAAATAGAGCACATTTGATCTTTAAAGTGCAGTAAAAGATTGCTGTATCATCTAATAGCAAGTTTCCGGTTTGAAGCTTCACCTTGTCATTGTGAAGTTTGGGTGTGTTCCCAGAGCTTGTGCTGATTCTCCCCAGGTGATCCACCATTGTGGAAAATAATTGCTACAATTCAGTATTGTTATAAATGATTCCTTTTTTTCTGCTTACATTTCAGCGTGGACCCTCTACAAAATCAAATTGGGTTTGTTTATAGTGGGTTCAGCAAAGCTTGAAAACTACTCAGTAGCGGAAATCATACGAACTCAGGTACGAAAAAACGTGCAAAATTCAAATTTTAGCTTGGGCCGATCACAGTAACCTGAAGTTTTTGTCATATGTTTTGCAGCTGAAAAAAACTCTCCCAAGTAACAGCTCCGTCCAGAACATTTCTGCGTCGCCCTCAGGGTAAAGCAGATTGTTGCTTCAGAATAGCATCATTGACAAAGATATCTGTCTGTAATTTCTGTTATCTGTGTTCCCGCGTAGGCAAATCTGCCATGGAGTTAATGATTCTGTAGCCTTGTCTGCGCAACAACCTCAGGTGCGTGGAGTTTGATTTTCCACTTTGAAGCTGCTGTGCCTTTAAAGATGAGAAGATTAGAGAACAAATCAACGAAAAAGAGCAAACAGGAAATTAATGTCATAGGCACATAGGTCATCCCTAATGCAAAGTTGGTATACATTATATGTAGAGAAAATAACTGCCTCCAAGGAATTTTGTGAAAGCATCAATTTTTGAATTCAGGACTGATTGAAAAATGTATTTTAGGGATTGGAAAAACTACCAAACTCCACCTGTGAAATGAGGTAAGATGAGATCCACACACACAAAAAGTAGTTTCCCTTTAGCGTTACTGCAGGAACAAGCCTAACAAATCACCAAAGAGCTCATATATACTTGTTGTTTTTTACCTTCAGATTCAGTTGTGAGGTCCATGTGGATGTAAATCCTGCAGATGATGTCAAATCGGTTCAGAAATACCTCCCGTCATTTCTGAATTTCACCCTCACTTATGACTTCTTAGTCATGACAGTTGACCCTAACAGCATCCTCATATTTCCTGTGGGTGAGTGTTTGTTGTACAGTCAAATTCTATTTCTAAACAAAGCTGTCATTATCATTGCTACCATCTTTATGGCATTGTTGTGTATAGCTCTTACATTGACCAGAGGAAGTGTATGTAAAATAAAATACAGCGTATCTTAAATAAATACGAATGGGTTACATATAAAAGATATCAAATCAGAACTTTTACACATGTCTAAAAATACCAAGAAAATTACATGTTACTGCTCAGCATAGGGGACAGAATATTCATGGTTTGGGTTGAGACATTAAGCCATTCATGTTATTCACACAACTGATCCTGAATCTTTTCTTTTACTCTTTTAGACCTAACAAACCCTCCCCCAACTATCATCTCTCCCGAAGCCACATCGGGTCAGTGAATAAGTAAAATGAAGCAAAGTTGTTAAAAAAAACATCTCAACTGATCGAGCCTCTCAATTTTCTAGGCAATGGAGGGCAGACAACATGAGTTATGCAGTGAGTTTTTGTAGTAAAATTTTTTATTTTTTGTTCGCAGAGGGCCCAAAGCAAACTGATCCAGCCAAACCTGGTAACATATCAACAACCAAACAGCCTTCAGATCTCAATCACTCTACAGGTCAGCTCACAGAACACCTCTCCCTTGTGTACAGTGAACCATTGTGACAACAGTAAAGATAAAATAAATCAACATTTTTTCTTGAAAAAGGTTTGATATCCTATCTTTAAGTGATAGTCATTGGCAAATAGAATATACCTGGCTCCTAGAAGATGTTTGTAGAGGTTATAGCTTACATACAATTTAGTCTGCTTTTGCTCTCCATATCAACAAATGGCTAATTTTACAGTTACAGGAGAATACTGAAGATCTCAGTTCTGCATTTGAGACCCATATGACTAAAAATTATGTGTAAATGCTGATGAACGCCATCACCATCACTTTCAGATAAAAGTACTCCAGTATGCTTTACATGACTCTTAGAATTCAGACTCTTTTCCTCAGAAAATGTGATCCCATGGTAGAATAACTAGAATAGAATGAATTCTAAAATACTCAGTGGAACATGAAACAGTTAACTTTATGATGTTATTTGCTTCTGTGAAAACAAAAACTGTATAATCCATCTCGGCTTTGTTTTCATTTATTTTTTATCTCCCTTCCCAGTCCGCCCAGATTTATTCTTCAGAGTAAATTTGACCATAATAATGATGGGCGGCACATCAAAACCAAAGGATGTTATTGAGAAATGGGTACGACACTTCTACATAAACACTGTGAAGTTATGTGTGTAAAAACATTTGCACTTTTCTTTACACTTGTCACGTCTTTTTCTTTTTCAATGGACAAAGGTTAAGGAGCAGCTTGAAGTAAATAAGACCAAGACGGTGCTGAACTTCATTGCTGAGAATCGAAATGAGTGAGGGAAACTGGATATTCATTCATAATTCAATTGATTAAACACTAATTGATAATAATTACTCTTCTGTACGTTCTAGGATGATGGAGAAATACGGTGAATTATTGGTAAGTATGCATTTATTACATAAATTACATAAATAAAGATAAATGGGATTCATCTGTGGAGTTTAATTCAAGGAGAAATATGGCTGCAACACACGCAATGTTTGGTACTTTTATGCTTGCAATAAACTTTCCAATATGATTTTTTTTAGACTTCTTATGGACTACAAAAGGAGTAGGTCTTTTTGTTTTTTTCCAATTATTGCCAAATGTTATGTCCTAATATGTCACCTACTGTTCTGTTTGCGTATGATTTAAAAAAGAAAAAAGAAAACTGATTACGCTGCAAACTATCTACATATGCTGAACCTGATACGTATATTTTATCCACAGATATTTCTGCACCTTCCAAGTTCAGGAGGTGATACTGAACAGTGTGCCTGAAATAGAGTTTTCGATTCATACTGCCCTGACAACAAAGTTTGAAAATGGCTCCATTACCATTCACGGCAGAGACGTGTCGATCAAGCAAATCGGTAAGCTATGGTTCTCATTTAGATAAAAAGACAAAAACACAAGAGCTAACTAGATGCATATTTCCCCTGCTCTTTCAGAAACAAACAATTGTTTAGAGGAAGTATTGTCAACAATCTACGGCCAGTACATATGGCCAGAAACATTTCCACAGTACACCGAGGAAATATTATGCAATAGGCCTACTTTCAACAGAGCCTTCAGACTTTGGTAAGAAACGGTCAACAATCTTTAACACAGCAGATTTTGTGATATTAAACGTGTCAGGCTGATCAAGCTTTTGCCCAAAATTAGTCATCGGACTGCCTTAGTACCTTAAAGTACCCTATCTGAACAGAAAGGGCAGAGCTTGTTCTTGTCCAGGGGTAGATGCAGAGTGTGGTTTAGCATCGTTTTGCTAAAAAACACAAGACTATCCAGTGTTACTTTGAAACATCAAAACATCTGTTTGACCATATAATAGGGTAGTAATAATTCTCATGAGATTCACTTCTGCTTATGTGATCGACAGCAGCGATTTCCTTTACTGTTATCTCCTGTTATCCTTGTTAGACACTTCAGATTTATTGCCGTCAGAGCACAAGGATAAAGTATTTTACTTTTTCTTACAGTAAATTGAACGGTGAAACCGACATAACCAGCTGGGCTGATCCTGACATGACAAACTGTGACCCACTAACAATAATAGACATCAGCAATGTCACTGTTACACCTGGTAAGAAAAGCAATCACTCTCAAACTCCTGTCCATCTGATTTCCAGTTCTTGAAAGCTTTACAGCAAGGAGGTGATCATCGCTGACTGTTTTGAATTGTAGATAACGCAGCTGAAGTTGTGGACGTGATTCAAGACCTCGTCGATGTTCAGTTAAGTAACAGCTCTCAGATGTCTTCTTCTGAGCTGGGATTAGTTGTAGGGAAACTCAACGAAGTGGTTAACTTGGACACCGTCAGGCCAGATGTTGGAGCTGACATTGCTGACATTGTTGGCAATATCCTGCTTTCTGAAACCGATGTCACACCAGTGGCCAACACGTAAGAAAACGCTGACCCTGTGCTTCATTTCTGCATCACCGACCATTAGATGGCAATAATAAATCATCTCTTTTATCTTTATGCAAAAGCCTCCTTAAACTGACAGATAGGATGGGAAACTGCATGGATTTCCAAGATGAAATCGCAAGTATATCAGCTCCCTCACTGGCTCTTTCCATGGTCAATGTTGGTCCAGGGGATTTTAGTGGCCTCACCTGTGGCATATCTCTGTCATTTACAATGAAACCTGAGGTAAGATGTTATTAAGATGTTATTATTAATTCTATGCTATGCCAAAAATAAATAAATAATTGCAGTTAGTTTGCTTATTATGTGGTTAAAAACTTGGACACAGAAACATGAAAGGGAAATCAGTATCTTACAAAAGATTTTAATCATTCATTTGATGAATCAAAAATTTGTCGGGAACATAGAAATATACTTTAATAATGTCAAAACCAAATCATGGACACACTTGTCGTCTTTAGTACAAAATCAGGTGAATTATTGGCCCTGATCAACTGAAACATTAAGGGAATTGTTAATAAGTAGACATGGCTTAAAGCGGTCATGGCACATTAGGCTTGAACAAGAACTGTTCAAGTGGAACACAGATTGATGCTTTGAAGTCGTCATGAGATTTAGTTTTTACTTTTTTTTCTCAGATTGTTGTCAACCAGAGCTTTGTGAGCGAAGTCTCAGAGGCAAACGCCACCATCTCTTTGCCTTCGACAATCTACCACTTCTTTCCTCCTGGAAGCAAAAACACAACCCGTGTTCTGTTTCAGTTTTATGGAACAGAGGACCTTTTTAAGGTATTAAAAATGTCCCTCCATTGAAATTCATGGGCCCTTACTTTCCTTTATTCTTCCTTTTCTTCTCATATTAACTACAATTGTCTGTGTCTGTCTGTTTAATTGTGTTAGAATTAATGAGATAGCTAAAACATTTGGGGCAATTCAGTCGTTTTCATTCGTCATAACTATTAAGTAGTAGTTCTATCATTAATAAGTAAATACTAATAAATGTGAGAACAATATGTGCTCTTTCCTGGTTCTTATCTCTGGCCAGGTGCAATGACTTCCTGAGGTTACCAGGCAACTTTTGCACATAATTTTTTTTACAAGTTAAACAAACAAGAGGCAGGGATTCTGTTACCTTTGAACACCCAGATTCATTTTGTGATTGCAGTTTTTCATGCTGCATTAAACACGGCGCACAGATATAATAGTGATGTCAGCTTCTAAAGAATAACCAATTTTCCAAAATATGTCAAAGTAACAATGGTTCCATTTTTTAAATTTCAGGACCCATACATAGACAATGCAACGCAGGGCAACCTGACGTTAAACTCCTACATCGTGTCGGCCAGCATCAACAACAGCCACGTCATCGACCTGGAGGATCCAGTGGTGGTCATCCTAAAGCATAAAAATCCCAAACAGGTGACTGATTCATTTTCTCACATTGTCTTCTATATCAACACATTTTTGGCGTGATTCTGCTCTAACGCCACCATGATTTCCCTTTTTTTGTAGCCAGGAGACAGGGTTCATTGTGTGTTTTGGGATTTCCAGAATTATGGTGAGTTGATCATTGCTGTGTGTAAATTTAGGGTTAGATCATCTCCTAACTGAGCCTCATAAAGGGTCCAAAACACAGGAAGGAATTGGTCTGTTGATAAGGCAGCTTAATCAAACATTGCAACCATGTCTGTGTCGGTCTGTGTCTCTGCTTCAGGTGGGCAGGGTGGTTGGAACAGCCGCGGCTGTGAAGCCCAGAGCATTTCACCCTATCAGACCAGCTGTCTGTGTAATCATCTCACTCATTTTGCTCTTCTCCTGGTGAGCAGTTCAGTTGATCCTTAAAATTCGAACTCCCACAAGCACCAAGTCTCATCTCCATATCACACATCTTACATTGCTGCCTTTCATGTCATCTGCTTGTTACCTTGAAAACAGGATGCTAATGTCGCTATGTTAAAAAATGTTACCTTGAAAACAGGATGCTAATGTCGCTATGTTAAAAAATGTGTTATGTTCCAGGATGTTTCCAGAGTCCCCATCAGTGAAGCCGACAGTCAGATTCTGACAGTGATCTCATATGTCGGTTGCGGCATTTCTGCAATCTTTTTGGGCATCACTCTACTTACTTACCTTTTTTTTGAGTAAGTCATACATCGAGAGAAACTCCATATTTTTGTTTAGCTACGGAACATTTCGACCCGCTATTAAGACGCATAAGTCTTGCATAAGGCATTTGTTGTTTTACTTGTTCAATTTAAGATGGACTATATCAATGTAAGGCTTATATAATGGTTAGGGTTACACATTTTTACAATTTTTACTGGCTAGTGGAAAACTCTTACCACTGGTACAGTAGCTGTGGTGGAAGGGGGTTAACATACTGGATTGCTCAACTGGTGCAAATTCTTTAAAGGCTGTGTTTGCAAGTTACACACCGATTTAGCATGTGTGACACGTCTTGTATATTTTCCTTAGAGGTAAAAAATATTTTAACAGTAAAACTTCATTCTACCTCCATCAGAAGTTCTTAGGCTTTTATTGGTTTTCGTTTTTATAGATCCATTTTATGTTAAAGTCCTCAGATCTGGGAACATTATCTACTATGTTAGCACCATTTGTGATGGTTGCAGTCTAAAAATGAACCAATTTATGTAACTTTAACTTACTTGATGCTCAGCTTTTTATTCATGATCTTTGAGATATTGGTACTAACAAAAAAACTAGTCTTATCGTCTGTTCTATGATCTCTTAATTCAAATTTAGAGTTCAGTCTTGGTAGGTGGGAGATTCATTTTACACCCTTAAAAACAAGAGATTTTTTTTTTTTCAAAGTTGTAAACAATTAAAGAATTGGGAAGAATTAGTTAGACTTTTGTGACTTTACTGCATAGACAGTTAATCTTCCAAACAGTAATCTGTCTTTCTCACCAGGAAGCTGCGTCAGGACTATCCATCCAAGATACTCATCAACCTTTCAGTTGCTATGCTGGGATTAAACATGCTCTTTCTTCTCAACTCTTGGTTCTCCTCCTTCTCAAACCATGGCCTGTGCATAACCACCGCTGCACTCCTCCACTATTTCCTGCTGGCCTCCTTCACCTGGATGGGTCTAGAGGCTGTGCACATGTACCTTGCATTGGTCAAAGTGTTTAATACCTATGTGCGATATTACATCCTCAAGTTTTGTGCTGTTGGATGGGGTAAGGTCGTACTTTGCACTTCTTCTTTTCAAATATGTAATCATAACACAAAAAAGGTCCAGGAATTTAGAACCCACTCATATTGTTAGAATTGGACATAATTTCTAAGAGAAAATTTACCATTTCCTCACTAACTGTCTGACTATGAACTTTCTTAACCTTAACCATTTTGTTATTTGCGCTCAACCCAACCAGGAAGTGACAATAGTTTATAGTGAAATATTGTTAATCAAACTACAAATCTCATGTAAGAAATGAAAAAGCTGACAAATTTGAAACAGGAAAACATCAGTTTACTTGAAAATGTTTGGTTATCAGATTACTGGTTCACAGTGGTGGGAGAAAAGCATTACTCTGGACATTCTTTTCTCTCACAGGAATGCCTTTGGTGATAGTCATCTTACTGCTGGCAATAGACAAAGATGCATATGGGAACTTAAACCCTGAAGAGGCTTCAGTAGGGCTTCTTACAACTGGACAGTTGTGAGTGCATCCACACTTGATTGCAATTTATATAGAGCACATTTCTGCCTGTCGAGTTTTTTATTTTATTATTGAGGAGGGATTAAACATGATACCTCTCAAATATTTTGTTTTCTGATGCAAAAAAACTTCTTTTTTTGTGCTGGAAAGACTCAATAAGTAACCATGTGATGTCCTCTCCTCTCCTGCTCCTTTGCTCCCACAGCTGCTGGATTCAGAATGACATTTACTTCTATGTGACAGTGATGGCCTTCGTTTTTCTGATCCTGCTGTTCAACATCTCAGTGTTCATCATAGTCCTGATTCAGATCAGACGAATGTCAGCCAGCAAACTGTCAGCAAACTGCCGCAGCTATCAGCAGAACGTGAGAGCAGTCATCAGCCTCAGCGTCCTGTTGGGCTTGACCTGGTCGATGGGCTTTTTTTCATTTGGGCCCGGTAAAGTGGTCATGATGTACCTGTTTTCAATCTGCAATACCTTACAAGGTAAATACAATCTTAGGGATTACAAAGCTTACTACAAAGATACTTTAATGGATTTATTTTTTCATTTGTAACTTGTCGCTATGCAGTGTTACGGGTTGAATTGGTTTTGGCAACATTTCACAAAGCCTTTTTAAAGTCTCAAAATACCACTTATTGATACCATTTTAAATCAGCACAAATCACAATTATATTGAAGCTGTATTTCTCAGAGTGTGTCAGAGCAGCATCATTTCTAAGACACAGAAAGGGGAGTGTTCTGAATATTCTTCTTTCTTTTGCCCCAGGGTTTTTTGTGTTTGTGTTCCACTGTTTGTTGAAAGAAAATGCGCAGAATCAGTGGAGAAGCCATTTGTGCTGTGGACGTTTCAAACTCAGCGGTAACTCAGGTAATCCATTTTGTCCGGCTTTTCTTCTTTGTTGCAGCGTATTGACGACACACATCTATTTTCATTGTGAATTAACCATTATTTCCTTTAAACTTTTCTTTTTTTTTCCTGTGTGCAGACTGGAGCCAATCTGTGACAGCTGGTGACCGCTCCAAAAAAGAAGATCTTAGTAACTCAGATTATGTTACCTCTGACAACACCTCCTCACTCAGGTTCCTGACTCACAACTCCACCAGGAGGCAGGAATGAGTCACTAAAAAAAGCAGATCTTAAGAATTCATTGACCAGTGTCAAACACAAATATTGCACTGCCTTTATAAGATTACAGTTTGAAAAAGGTTCATATCTGTAAAATCATAGAGCTTTTTCTTCAAACTATGGATACTTGTAACACTTTTGATGTTACTATAAAAGCATCTCAAATGTCACTTTGATTTGAATGTATTGGAACTTAAATACATAACAAATTTTCCATAACAAAGTTTTTAATTTGAAATTTTCAATCTTAGATTTTTGTTTGTAACACTATCCCTTTTTGTAAGTGAAGAAGTTCAACTTTTAGTACAAGGTTAAGAAGGTTAAGGTTGAAAAGGTCAAGAATCAGCCTGCACACTTGTGCAGTTTTTGTGGGAAAAGATATGTACCCTTCTAGACCTTATGCTCTGTCTCTGTAAAACATACGAAATAATTAAAGTACTCGTTTATGTATGATGGGCCTGAGAGCTCATGTGCATTTCAAGTTGAAACCTGAAATTTGTGTGGACTTATTTTTGTCTTATTTACTCACATGTGGTGGATATGGTAGATCTGAATGTGATCTCTCTGATTGGTGGGTTTATTAAACAGCACATGACACAGTGATCTTCACTTTTATGTTTGAACAATAAACTCTTTTTGCATTTATGTGAAATACAGATTTCTCCTGGTAATTCTTATACTATTTAAAACTAGAGAATACAATAATTAGAAAAGCAGTGAATAATTGCATTTCAAGATAAAACACAGCTGCAGATCCCATAAATGGAGAAGTTCTCCAGGAAGATGTGTTCTTTACCCTTAAAGGAAAACTAAGCATAATGTGTAAAATGCTTTGAGTTTTTTAAAAGAAAAATAAAACTTTAAATTATGCTTTAAATTTCTTAATGTGTAAATTACTTTGGATTTTCAAAAAAAAAATCACATATGCTTAAATTTGCTTAAGAGTAGTTTTGAAAATGTTTAGATCCTTGATAGTTAGACTGAGGAATGTGTCAAAGTCTTTACTTAGTTTCAGGAGGAACTTGCTGGTTAACATTCTGATCATAGCTGTTACCCTCCCAGTCTCATACATTCAGTAACTTTGGAGGCTCTGCGGAGGAAACATTTCCCTTGAAGAAGTAAAGGAGAAAGTCTATCAAAGTAGATTCTTTAACCGAAGCTAAGTGACTCTTCCGATGCAAGTGTATTTCTTTATTTATTTTTTAAAAACTAGTCAATGCAAGTTTGTACTGTCTTGTCACCTTCGGTCAATCAACGGACCAGGTAGGAGAAGCAAGTTGCTTAAAGTTTTTAGCATGTTGAAGTCTGTATGTTTACGCAGCTCAGCTAACTAGTATCAAAACATGTGAATTCATTCAACGTTTTTTAGTACAAAATGCACCAGTTATTATGTGGATAGTTTTTTTTTCTACTTTCAAAGACAGAAAAAAACAAAGAAACAAAATTAAAGGTTTGTTTGGCATAAAACCCCTAGAGGAAAAGTAACAACTCTTTTGCCAAATGTTCTCTAGTTTAACTTTACGTCTAATGACAAAGCGCATGAAAACTGTCTGTGAGTATTTTCTGATGGCTCCACATTCCCTCGTCTTTTGCTGCCAGCTGACCCATGGAGGAGAGAACGGGCAGTCCAATCGCCGTGAAGGTGGAGGGGCACTCTCACAGCGTCCTCCTGACTTACTTCCATGGAGACATTAACAGCATGGTGGATGACCACTTCAGGCGTGCTCTCAGCAAAGTCTGTAAGGCCAAGGAACCAGCAGGGAAGGCAAAGAAAATCCGTAAAACTATAAAACTGGGTAAGCAAAATCAGTACCGTCTCACCTAACAGCTAATATACAAAAGTTAATGTAATATAATAGCAATCACTTCATCTCCTCCATGCTTTCCCTCTGCAGAGGATGGGAGACCCGGTCCAGACGGGGCCGCTGTGTGTTTCTCTGGGTCCCGGGACCCTTCTGTGGCCGGACGTATCCTGGCTCTCAGCTCCTCAGAAGACGCTCCTGGATCCTGGAATTCCTACGCCGGCACGACGGGAGAGGCAGCGGGGCTCCCGACCATCATGTGCTCCCTGTCCTCGGGGGAGCTGAGTCTCACCGGACAACAGTACGCCACCTCCCTGCTCAACCTACTGCACAGCGAGCGGCCTGAGATGGGACCCGGCTCAGTGTCCACCTCCAAGCCGGAACCGACGGCAAGCTGGGCGGTGCCTCAGGGGTTCAGAGAGTCTGCAGACCCTCCCGTGGGCTTTGAACCTGGTAATGCCGCAGCTGCAATGCAACATCTGTACTACAACCTCAAGCAAGATTCCAAAATCTAACTGGTCCTCAGGTCTCACGGGGACAGAAACCATCTTTTTTGTCATATGAGTGATTTTGTAAAGGAATTTTCTCATAATTAATTCCAAAACGTATTTCGATTACTGTGGAAAGGATCACAAGTTGATGTAGAGAGTATTTTTGATGTCCTGACAGTTTCAAAAGGCCCTTTCCTTTCCAGAAGATTGGATATAGGTTGAAATGATTGCCTCAAATTGCTACCAGTGAGGGTCAGCACATAGCTGGAGGCTGTATCACTTCAGTCACATTAATATTTATGGATGCAAGTTTTAAACAGTGCATGGCATAATTTAAAGGGACCAAATTTAAAGTTATAATGCACATTTCTATTCCTCATTCACTTAATAGTGACTGTGCAAGGTTATACAGTGACTAACTCCAGATGTTGGTTATCATCATGTCCTGTGTGATAGGGGTATTTCAGGTATTGAAAAAAGAAATACTTCCTTTTATGTTTCTTAGTCACCGTTCAAAGAGCCAATTAGTATCCTGTGGAAAAAGGGATATGTATGTATAATTCTATCTTTACCTACAAGAGCTGTTTGACACTGCTTTGTGTTTTTCTCCTTTTTATTAGGACGACATGTGGACAAAAAGGACTTGTACTGGTATTGAGGAGACAGCAGTCTGGCCACTATGGGCAGAAGATGGTTTCCTTGATGGCCCATGTCTTTCTGCTCCCTTCATTAGGATTTTTTTGTATCTCATCACACTCTATCTGAATGCCTTTTTGAAACAAAATCAGAAGAAAGAGCAGCGTCTCCACTCTTCAGTTAAAATGACCTCAGCACCTCAGCGCGCACAGACTGGAACAACTTCTCTGAAAGGGGACAAACCGGTTCCTCAGCTCCGTCATTTCTTGTGCAGATCGTAAAGCAGAGTATTTGACATTGCCGTCTTTGGTGTAGTTGGATGAACAGCATTTTTTGGGCTTACATCCATCAATAGAGAAGGGTTAAGTTTGAACCTTGTGAGCTTTGTGAATGTGAACAAATTTGGGGAGGATCTGTTCTTTAAATGGTAGTTGCTATGTAAAAGTTTTGAACATCTGCACACACTGGTATACATGTCTATATAGTCATATGTGTGTGTATGTTTGTTTGTATATATGACTACGAGATAAGTTATGTAAACAATGTTGGGTACTTAAAGTCATTAGATGGCATTCCTTAAAAGCCTAAAATAACTTTCAGGGTCTTTTTCTTGTAATGAACTGAGTGAGCAGGTGATCTAAACTGAACAATATTGATCCCTGCTGGCAAATTTAAGAGCATAGTCTCTGTGTTGTGGATGATTTTTTTTCCCCAAACAGAGACAGACAAGATAAGTATGCTAATGTAGAAGTCAGGAATGCAAATCCAAAGCAGGAAAACTGGATTCGAACCCACTTTAGTCTATGTGTCAGTGTGTATGCTCCTTGAACTTAACAGCTTTTGTCACTCAGTGCAAAAGCAAGCCAGCTGTTGCAAAAATCCACATGGTGTAGATGTAATTTTATTTTTAACCTTTGTGTTAATTTATACTTGTATTTCTCAACTGCTACGCTTACTAGTCAACATATTCATTTTTGCATGTAAAAGAGTGATCGATTTAAGATCAGACAAATGACAAATATATGCATTACCCTACTAACATGTTTACCTTGATTACTTTAAGGATATTTGGTTAATATTCTTCATGATAACTTAATTGTGCAAAAACATAATTTTTCATATTAACAGTGAATGCATACATACGCATGTATGGAATGTCTGGATTTACTGTAGTAATGAAATAACCTCTTCCACACTGTAAACATGTGGGCAATTAGTTTATAGAACTTCAGTTTGTTTAATGTTAAGTATATGCCACAATAAATAATTGTATAAAGAAAACACTTAGGATGTGTACAGTTTCTGAAGGGAAAGCAAATGTATGTTGTCAGTTTTCTTGAAGTGTTTCTTTGATTAAAAAAAAAAGATGTCTCTTATAAATCTCATGTTTTCTGATGACAAGAAACTTTTAAGACCTCCCTGCTTGAGCATGACCGTCACATTTTAGGCTACAGCTTCATTCTGAAGGTTGAGTGTCTGACTACATTTCAGGTTATTGATGCCCTGAGCCAAACAGCTAAATCTTAAATGTGTGTGGGGGTGCTTTGACAGCAGCTGCTGTGTGACAGCTTTTTCACTCCACTGGAAAATGAGCAATCTGTTAATCATTCAGCGGACGATTGCTGACATTTAACTGCTGAGAGTATTAGCAAAAAAGAGCTTTTCCATAAAAGCTTTGTGGCTTGTTTAAACATGTTAACAGCTTTAATTACCATTTGATGTATAGACTCATTAAAATGTCAGACAAGCCACATTAGTTCATTTTCTCATGTCGATAAAGCATTTTAACGCAGAACAGGTTGGAAAAAATTATTCAAGTATTTCAAAAAAGCAAAAAATCTATGTCAAATTGAAGGATAAGGATTGTGAAAAGAGGCTCTAGTCCCCCCGCGCACCCATTAGGGAATAAGCGGTCACGATAATGGATGGATGGATGGATGGACTGTGAAAAAAAGAAAGGAGGAAAATAATGAGTCAAGACTGTCACGGACCGCTCGACATGTAAGGATCCTGAAACAGAGACAGATACCAAAGGAACTGGTACAAAGCGCCTTATTTACAAGAAGACTGTAAACATGCTGGTTTGACTGATAAGCTTTGGCAAAGATTGTGCTGGGGGAATGTAATGAAGCAAGCAGAAAGGATTTTATAAGCAGGAAGCAAACAGTGCAGACACAGGTGAAGGAGATGAGTCATCAGCCTCTCAGGAAGCCACGCCCATTTAAGGCACAACACAGACAGTATCTCAAGATAGATTAGACACAAAATACATACACAAAAATGTCTGCAAGCCACAATGTTAATGACTTTAGAAAATATAATCTGAATCTATTAGGCCACCAATATAACAGTTCTCCTTTTTAAGTCTTGTGTGTGTTAACAAACCTATACAGACCATAGAACAATCTTCTGGCTTTTAAACTTTGAATCCAGTCACATGTCAATATGTGATTTGACACATAGTCGGCAAGTTTGTGTTGGTCTGTGATAATTACACGTTTCAGCCTGTCTATTATACCACTTTCCAATCCCCCCGATAAAATGCCAGCCGGGTAATTGTTGACTGAGTCAGTCCACTCATCAAGAACTTTTCTGAGCCTTTGTCATCGACTTCAGTGGTTCTAAGTCAGGTAAGAGCAGCTAAATTACTTACATAATGGCACAGGATGACGTGTCCTGCCCTCGAGTTGGCCAGCTTGCTTCTTTTTAATTGGGAGTCTGAGTTATTTGTAGACTGTTACTGGAGGGTCTCACTGGAGTTTCAGCAAATGATTTAAGTTAACTATCTCACTCATTCAAGTTGTTGTGTCCTCACAGTTATAGATTCCCAGGCCAATTTATCTATTACCTACAGAAACAGCCAATATGTCTCAAAAGTGCCCAGAATCAGCTCTTTCTACCTAACACACTACGGCAAGACACATTAACACTTCTTGTGTTTGTATTTAACAAAAAATCAAATATTGAAAGGCGTAAGTAAAGGTTTTGTGTCTATATTGAAGCATAAAAGGATTTTATTAACTTTGGTGATCCTAATTGAGTTTTGCCAGAAAGATCTTGTTTCAAGTAAGGGAAATGCATTCAGAATATCACACAAAAGTTATTCAAATAAATGTTCTTTGCTTGGTTCAGAGATCTTTCTTACACACTTGTATTAGCTGAACCTGCTGCTCTCTTTTCCATTGAAACAATACTTTGACATAGAGCAATTATTACAATGTAGAAGTCTGCTATGAATATTTCTGTGTGTGCTAACTTGAATAAAAAGTAAGGGCTAAGTTCAATAACTTATAGTCATAAATAATTCAACTAGAGGGTTTGTATGCTTCCATTTTTTTGAAAAGCAGCTCATACAAAATGTGCGTGTGTGAAATGGCAACATGTACATAGTTTGCTAATGTCGCCATTCACATGGTAATGTGCCATTTGACATCACTGGAAACTTTCAGATGGTATTTGATAAACTGTTGCGATTTGAATATTTTAATTAACTAGCATAATTAACAGAAACTCTCTCTGAATTTGCCTCTGATTCTAATCACACAAATGCTGCTCGTAGTCGGTACGTTTGATGAAAATGTCCAATGGCATTTTCTCACACAGCAGCAGAACAATCATTTCCTTTGCAGTTTTTTTTCTTAAATTGGTATCTAAATTAATATTTCAAGCAGCTGAGTCTATTATCTATCTTTTCGATTACTCTATTACTAATTTCTTCAGTATGATTGATTTGCTCTTTATGAGCATGCTCCAGTGAACTTTAAGCTACATGTAGCTTTAGTTTTTCCTCAGTTTGTTGATAGAAAAGTCTCAACATTTTATAAAAAATTATAAAAGTTTCAGAAAATTCTAAACGTCTTATCTTAAAAAAGATCATTTTCATTTTAGTCTTTTTCTATCAACAGTGTAAGATAGAAAGGGTTTCTTCCTTGGCTTGAGGGAAATGGATTCTTTATCTCCTCCATATATTGTGTTATTTTGATCCTCTGGATTCTGGCAAACAGATTAAATCTAATTTAGCCTTCGTCTTTTACTATTTTAACGTGCAGGAGTGATTCTCATTTGAAAGGTAGCCTAAATTTTTGTCCTTTTTACATGATAAAAAATCACCATGAAAATAATGAGGTCATATTTAAAACAGAAAGACTGTGTGCCTTGCAGCTATGAACTTGAAGAGATATTTGTTCTCCCAACCAAAGTGAGGGCGATTTAGCAAAAACATTGCATCAGTGATTCACAGCTCAGCGCAAAAACGGTTGCAGCTGTCGGAGGCTCATGTTACTATCGTCCTGGCAGTTTCATGAAATATAGAAGATGAAAAATTGTCTGTAGGTGGGGACACAAATTGGTCCTCTCCAGGAGGCAAAAGGGTGGACAGTAGCCATACAGACAGGAAATAATCTTTTTCTTCTTACCCTGTGTAAGACAGAAGTAGACTGGTGGGGTAAATATATGTGAGAGGAGAGGGGTAAGTTTGAAGTGATTGCTGTCGATTCAGAGTTGAGGAACCTGTGATGTTGAGAATTAACTCATCATGACTGCTGCATGGGTTCCAACAGATAGATACAATCATAGATATTGCTCTTTTACAGCAGCATCAAAAGGCAGGAAGTTGTCAGACCCTCTGGTTATGTATCAGCTGTGAACCCACTTGAGGAAATTTACTGACTTATTTTTAGGATCTGATTTTTTCCACTTTACTGATAGACTGACTGTCTCCCTGTAGTCTTATCTAAAGCACCAACCTGGTTGGACTTGGGTCCTATGTGTATGGAGCACAAGTCAATGCGATAACTGAATGCTGTGACTGTCGCCTACATAGTTAAAAAACACACTCTGGCATGCATGTGAAGATGACTTTTTCTATCAAAAGTTTTCAGCCACAATTCAGCACGTGTGATAATCTAAAAAAAACACAGAAATGAAAAGTCCCCATAAGCACAATTTGTGGAGAATACCAAGTGCAGCCAACCTTCTCAGGATGATACAAAAACACTGAAGCTGCCCTTGCAGGCAATTGTGGAAGTCAGTTTACAGAAAAGAACACGCTGCTGAGGGTGTTAAACTTTCAGACAGATTGCTTTCTTTGTACTCAGCCGAGCCTGCTTTCTGCCGCTAAACGCAGTGACTGCCTGCTACCAAAAGCATCCCTGAATTGGAAATGCACAGCTCGGCAAAAATCATGCAACAAAGTTCGTATTTGTGGAGGCAAGAATCTGCAGCCATTTCCTTCCCTACAACTGTAAAACCAGAATTGTGTCTTGGACAATAATATAATCTTCTGCACCTGCCGTGGAAAATTTGAAAGCCCGATGAAACTGGGTAAAGACCAGAATTTGATTCAAATCTCCTAAACTTAGCACAGTGTGTTAAAAGACTCTGCCTATTCTGCCAGAAAGTGATCACTTTGGGAGTTGGGATTTGCTCTATTTACACAGGTCATTGTGATAAAAAGGACAAGAAATAGCAAGAGAGGGAGCAAAATGAAAGAAGATGGGGATTGTTTGCGTGTAGAGGAGTGACGGGGGTGGAGGTATTTGCATTTCAGGAGGGCAGGTAGTCTATAAAGAAGTACAGCTGGCCACATTCAGCTCCCTTCACACTCACAGAGAGGAGAGAGACTCTATACCCCCCCCCCCCCCCCCCCCCCCCCCCCCCTGTCACCCTCCCCCTTATTCGTTGGTCTCACTGCTATGGTCGTCCACTATCACGATTCCAATTTCAGCACCACAGACAGCTCCCCGCCCGGTTCCACGGAGGCCCCCGGCCCGGATGATGGGCTGAGCCGGGGCGGCCACACGGCGGTGGCCGTCTGCCTGGGCTTCATCCTGGTGGCTGGGGTCCTCACCAACGTCCTGTCGCTGGTCATCTTCGCCAGGTTCCGCTCCCTGTGGACGCCCATCAACCTCCTGCTGCTCAACATCAGCCTGAGCGACGTGCTGGTGTGCGTGTTCGGGACCCCGTTCAGCTTCGCGGCCAGCCTGGAGGGCCGGTGGCTGACCGGGGAGCTGGGCTGCAAGTGGTACGGATTCGCCAACTCCCTCTTCGGTGAGTGTGCGCTTTTTTTTTACGCATGTGACGTTTTCTCTCTCTTTCCGCGTGGGTCAAAATAAGCCCAGTAAGTTGAGATTCAGACGTCTTCAGACGAAAAGTAAAGCTTGGAGTTATTTCATGTGTAGATGCTATAATCACAAAGGGAAAGTCATGCATTCAGAGTTGGAGTTTCTCTTTTTAGATAAATGTTGATCCAAAAAGTATTTTCTCTTTTATTTATTTCTGTAGGCTTCTCTAAGGAGATGATGAAAATTGGAGTACTCCAAAACAAACCATTCAATTAAAAAAAATGTATATAAAATTTCCTAAGAAAAATACTTTCCAAACTTTCCAGTGCCGAGCTTTTACTTTTACGTCATGAGGCTTCATACCGTCATACATTAAAATTCCTCAACATCAGTGAAAGGCTCTGAGTTAATTAATTTAAATTCAAATCAATAAGAAATAAAATGTCTGATGTGATAAAAAAATATGTAGTTGCAGGTCATGGACAGAGACATACAGCCCTCAGGCTTTTATCTTGTGTCAAAATAATGACTATGTGTCATTTGAAAGATTTAATTAATTTTGACCTTTTGACTTGG